ACCCACAACCGCACAATCTACGATGCTACTACGCGTTTTGGTTGTTTGTGCGTCCGTGCATACACTAAAATGGTTTAGTTTCGGATTGCGCCAGAAGTCTTGTTCAGATTGTAACTTCTAAATTCTGTACTTTCTGCTGCTGCTGCTTCGGGATACAAAGAAGAAAGTGCGGATTTTGTAAAGTTTGTGGAAAATTGGATCGTTTCCTGCCCGCACTTTGCCTGCCCCTCTTCTCTTACGTTCATACTTACCTATCGCGTCGAGGAACAATTGGGGATAATGGCATTGGTTGTGTTAAGAATGATTTTTTGGGTGTGATAGTAATCGTCGACGTCGTTGTCGTTGCACCAAGATGCAGTTTCGTCTCACGTTCCTCCCGGCAGTTTGGAAGGACGACAAGAAAAGTGCATAGAAGTGTAGAGAGATCGAGAGAGACAAATGTTCATACGTTTCAATGGGGGCGATGAAATGAAATTGCACGACATTGCAGCAGCAGTACCGGCACATGCTTTCACCCGATGATGACGACTTGCTTGCCACGATTTCATTTCCTTTTCACCAAATTTGGGTGAAAAGTGAAAGGTAAGCAGTTTTTATAGGGTGATATTGTATATGGATGGAGAACTTTCATCTCACATTCGCTCGCACGACGGTGCAATATCATAATATCAAAAATAAAGTGGAGTAAGCGGATATAGAAAAGTAGCGGTAGTGAGTGAATGAAAGGACAGAAAACAGCTTTCCATCAAAAAACTACGGAGAAATATGAAATTGTTTTCATTTTGGATATTGTAAAATCATGTTATGATTTTAAAAATACTTTTTACGTGAAGTAAATCTTTGTGACCTTGCTTTCTAAACGTAACGTTGCTTAAAATGTTTTATAATTTACATGTATTGCTTCATTTTTATATTTTCCCCCTGATTCCCGAGGAATTTTAGGTTAAGTTACGTTAGTACGGACAGAACGTTCCCATAAAGTATCGACCTCAACGTAATAACGGCCATTAAGTGCATTCTGTGTGAGCAATCGCGTCTCGCCTGAGAAACTCAACCATAACACATTTATCCGCATGGAATTGAGGATTGAATTGATGATATGGCGACTTTTTGTAGTCGGAACGAGGCATTTGTAACATTTCCATTGCGACTTTCGGCACTATTTTTATCCTCTTATGGATTTCAAAGTTTGGATACAAATTTGTATATCCGTTTCCAGTCGCGTGCTATTCCAGCCACGTTCTTTGCTGGATAACCAATAATTTTCCATTCACACCACGCTCGGTGGTTGAGGAAGTAAGTCATTAATTCCAAATTCTTCCCGTATTTATATGCGAATCTCCAAAATAAGTGATTAATTGGGATTAAATAAAGCATCCAAGTCAATCCCACCTTTCTCCTCGGGATACGCTTTATTAAAAACGACACGAGACTGGATTCACTCCCATTCGTTAAATCCACCTCCTCCACCCTTTAATCTTTCCCCGTCTCGCGCGTGGGGGAGGAATCCAGCGACGATGGCGATATGATGAAGTATGATTGTAAGAGTGTTGTTTCTCTCAGCCGGTGTGACAACGTTGTGTATATTTCATCATAAAGGAGCGGTCTGGGAGGAGAGAATGGAACGGTGAGAGGGCATGAAATGAAATGAAATAAGAGGGTGGGCATGTAGGTGTGCCTCGGGAAAAATTCCGTGGGGAATTTGGAGAGAAAGTTGCCTACGGGTGGATAAAAAATGGGGTATATAAGTACACTTTGTAATTCACAGTGACTTTGACATATTCTCTGCTTGGAAAGGAGCTTATGAGTTCAAGATCCGAATTCAAATGGTAAATCCGATCGATTATTTTTACCAATCCTTTCTCCTTTTCATCTCTTCCTTATTTCCTCCAAGCTGTTTGTCTCTATTTCCCCGTTTTGTGCCTTCTTTTACCCATACGTTATCCTGATGATGATAACATGTTGTCAGTTTTTTTTCAACTGGATTTCCTCCTTTTTGTGTTCGGCAACCAATATAATAAAGGGTTTGATTTCACTGCATTGTATTATGCAAAATTTACTACACTATATCAAGAAGAGGGGATACTGTGTTTGCAAATTGCATAATTAATGTGACCCGCGTGTAATGTTAATAACGCCATAAAGTTAAATAAATGGTCATCATCAACAAACATCTATTAGTCGAGTTTGTTCCAGCATAAAATTGTCATGTTACGCGGTTACATTTTTCTGATTAATTAGCATTCATTCTAATGTGTTCATTTTATGCGGCATTTTATTATTTTCTTTTATTATGTCCACATTATTGTGTACATGTGTCAGTGGTTCAATAAAAGTGCCTCCACTGCACCACAACACGACACATATTCTCATTTATGGGAAAGTAGGCTCTCAAACTAGGCCACAGCCAAGGAGACGTATGTATCATCAACATGACGAATTCCACACAATCCATCCATTTTCCAGGAGAAGAAGCACAGTCCAACTGTCACCAGAAAGCTTTATTTTTACTACGAATGTAATGTCACACAACTAGTCTCCAAATCAGCATTCCCATTACGACCAACATTGAAAAAGTGCATGGTTGATGACAACATAAACTGCGAAACCCAGTTTGTGTGTTTCCTCCATTTCAAATCTCACAGAGCAAGGAAGGAAGCAAGTGGCAGTATCAAATACGTCGACAAAGACGACGACGTCGATCAAGTGAATGAGAGAAAGTATTTTTAACCCTGTCTCATTTCGTATGTGACACTCTTTCCCCACCACGACGACGAAGAATACGATTGTCTCACATATTTGTGAAACCAGATTCTAAATTTTAAAGCACAATGTGTGGAACGAAAGACTTTCACCGAGAACACTGCTTTATTTCTGGGAGGCTTTCATCATTTGTTGTGTGGAAGTTATTTTATGGGGGACAATTTACTAAATCTTGGCTCATATTGTTACATGCAACGGGCTGAATTGAGAATTCCGCATTTTCATTTCATTTCTCTTCTCCGCGGTGCACTCACATGCTTGCCACCACTTTCTTATTCGGTGTCCTTTATCATGTCATTCCAACTTTTGTCTCTCACAAGTCTCCTCAACCCAGAGAGGACAAAACACAGCGACCCTGACTGGATGGGAGTCGAAAGTTACGATGAACGCCACCAAGCATAGTTTCTCTCCAGCTTTTTGTCCCCTTCATGTTGTTGCTTTTGTTACTTAACCCACTTATCGACTGAGTGACTTGTGAAAGTGGGATAGGAATAAAGCAGTAGGTAAGTTGTTGTTATTGCCAAGTGTTATTTCGCTCTTAAAAGCTCCTAAAACAATTCAACGAGCAGTAGCAACGTTTAGATTTCAAATGAAGAACGTCAAGGCTAACAACCAAACGGTTCCTTCGACGAGGCAACTTTTGTTGTTTTGTGTAATAGCTTTTCGTTAAAAGTTCTTCTTTTTTCGTTTGAAATGCAAACTATTCATGAGGCTGGATTTATATATGAAGGTGAAAGTTAAAGGTGTCGGTGTGCACATTTTTTCGGTAATATGGAATTCAAAAGGATGAAAAATGTGAAGAGTTACACGGATATGGACCTTTGTCGAGATATTATTAGGAGACTTTCATTACCATTCTTTTGTACGACGGAAACAAAGTTTAAAATTTACACTTTGGCCTGTATACTGACAACTTTTTATAGGACAACTAACTGGACTGGACTGACTTTGTATTCTTGAAGCGGAAGTGGGGAAAGGGGACGAATATGAAAGCAATCCAGTACGCCTTCCTTGTGTCCTTGTCGTCAATATGTGTCCGATGCGAATCCCATCTTACTAAATGGAAAAACTTGGAATCAAAGCACCCATTAGCACGTACATATGAAGTTCACTCCGTCCGTATGTGAGTCTCTGTGGAAAAGTAGATTTCATTTCATTCACGAACATACTCTTTCCTTGGTTTTTAGGCACCAACGAGATTTTATTCTTCTAGAAAAAGTACACATAGATTCAATTTCATGTCCGTAACGTGATATAATATTCGCAAAGTTTTTGGTCCAATAGTTTCTTCTGGCCCTTGAGAATCAAGCCTTTCTTGAAATCGTGCCAGCTATCTGCTGCGTCCAGTGTTTCAGCTTTTAGGGCAAATTAAGTGCAATAATTCCAACGGCATGTACAGACCCGGGGATAAGGGGACAGATACAGGCAGACCATATGTAAATGTATGGATCAGAATTATTCATATGCTTAAAGAGAGGGGAAAGTCGGGGTTAAATTCATAGTGCCAAAAGTCGTGTCATATGTATCACGGGGACCTGATTTTTTTGGTTGATACCCATTTTTCTCTTTTCTCTGCAGCTCTCTCTCTGTCTCTGTTTCTGACGTGAGAATTGACCCAGAAATATTGAGAAATGTAATAACAATCTTGGATTTGCTGAATCAAGCATCTCGTTGCCAATTTCCGGTCTCATTGTGTTGCAAAATGAAGAAATATGTATATGTAACCTTTCCCTTGCAACCATTGGAACGCTGATGCAAATGTGACATCAGCATTTCAAAGGTCAAGGGATTTAAAATACATAGATGTAGTTTTCATATGTATCTCGCCTCTCATGTGTGTCCAAACCGTATTGTGTGCAGGAGGAGATCATGAAGGGGAAGAGAGGATAGGAATGAGGAGCACAGAATGATGCCTACGTCATCATGATCATCATGATCATGAGGGCGTAGTTTGTGCATATGTAGCGTAAGTAAAGGCAGTGATCAAGAAGGCGTGGCTTATGTGATCACGTATATATAGAGTAAGCAGAGAGAAGAAGAATAGAGTGTAGTTTTAGATTCAGGATGAGCAGGTTAGTTTTAGTGATCATCAAGATCAAGTTCAAGGTTTTAGATTTTCGAAAACTTAATAATAAGTTCCCGTATAGATAATTAGTTAAAATATAAATTATAGCATTAGCTCTCCCACGTATTTATAATACGAGCATTTCTGTAAAGTCAATATTTTTCAGTCGGTATTGATGTAAATAAATTTATTAATAATTGTTATAAAAAAGTTATTTTCTACTACAAATTTATTGCACAACGTCACAAAGAAAAGGGGCATCCGCGAAAGTGGATGTGAATCAGGACACGCAATCCCATAATAGAATAGGGAGCGTTACACCCTCCAGCAGATTCAATAATTATATAGCCTGTAATACAATAACATTCATGCTGGCCAACTTTGCGGGGAACATTAGTCTGGGTGCAAAGTGATGGTGAGAAACAATTTATTTTAAATCGTATTTCCCAAAAAATAGGTCACAGAGTACTCCAAGAAATTGGTAAGAAAAAATCAAAGCAATTTTCCCAACAACATGCTCAACTTTTCCACTTATTATTGAGTTACATACAATTTACTTTCTTGAAGGTTATGAAATTAGTAGCCGAAAGTACTTATCCCTCCTCGCACCCTACATATGTTTTAGGCACCTACGGTGAATAGAAATCAAATTGACACCATGTCACAACTTCATTCCCTGCTTCCTTCCGTTCCGGGAGAGGATTTTAGTCTTGCACACGTCACTAAAATGAATTCAAGCCTCGCAACTCTCGCCAAACTTTTGAAGCAGACTGGCGATGGTATTATCTTGTCAAATGTGGGTTGACTAGTAATAACAATATGTGGATCATAAACAATGATTTCATGATGTCGTAGTCTACATGGATTGATATTGCTCAGAGGAATTTTCATATGGTGGAAGATTTTCAATTCTTCTCCCCCGCACACAAAGGAACAATCCCAATATCGGACCGATACCAAACTTTAGAGTATTCTACCTGATCCGTTCCAGGTAAAATGTTCTCAACAACCCTCTCGTGATACTGTCACCCTCTCGATAAATATATGTCCGCATTACAGCTTTACCTCGTCGGAGGACGGATTGAGATATCTGGCTTACGAGAACCAAGAATGTTTTAGAGACTACTTTATTTAAACCAGACAGGATGGAGAAGCTGGTGAGCTTAACTTGTCCACAATGACATGCACAATGCCATGCCACCCGGCTTTGTGCTTGTCAGTTAAATGCACTGCATTCAACTATTGCATATTGCTCCTGACTTCCTCTTTTCCTGTTCAGAAATCGACCGAATAATGGACTCACGAGCCGTCTGGTTAGACGACTTCTGTTCGAGTACAAAGTTTTAGTTCAACACTTTCTCTTTTTTATTATATATTCTGGATTGCACTTTATTCAAAGAGTAAAGGTAAAATTCCTCCCTCACACAATGCTTTCTCCATTATTTCAGAATTTCTTCCGGTCCAGAGAAAGCACAGAGAAGGGAGGAAAGCAGCTGTACTTATTTATTTACAAAATGCATTTCCATACAAGGGAAAAAATTCGCTTTTCCAGTTTTTTGTTTCCTATTACCACACCACCATTCACAAAAATTTCTTTCTCCGTCCCACACACCGCAAGCTCTCAACCAAGGATATAATCCTGTTTTCACCAAGAATTTCACCAAGCATAACTTTCCCTGAAATGGGTCTCCAGCGTGAAATGTGTGCCCATGTAAGTACGAACCTTGAACATCATCACGGTCCAAAATACCCCAAGGAAATTACTTAATTCATATTTCTTTTAATTTATTCCGTTACAAACAAACCTCAACTCTACACACGGAAAAGTCCAAGGTTTCTCCCGTAGTAAATACAATTTACCCTACGCCCGTGTATATAGCGATGAAAATGAAAACAAACACGGCCATTTTAATCAGTTTGTGTTGGTGGTGACGGTAAAAGGTGAGTAGTAGTTTTGACTAATTTTATTTCTCTCACTTTCTCCGCCCATCTCATCCCAAATATGTATTTACAAAGGTGAACCATGCAAATAAGGCATATGAATTGGTGAGCTGCTGCTTTATTACCTTGCTAATGCTCTTGGCACGCAGCCTGCCTACTCAACCAGGCGAAGGATAGACAGGAACTTGCAGCCCAAAAAGTAAAAATTCATCAGACCATGAGGAGGATGAGTGAGTGAGTGAGAGGTTGCTGCTGTGTGCCATCACAAACAGATAATTTGCAACGGCAACGCAAATCTCACCCGGGCAGACTTTCACTTAATATGCATACTAATACGTATCTGCAGTTAGTTTACTACTACTCCATGAGCTCTGCTTTCCTTGCTCTGTTATGCTTTTGTTGTCGATCAGGGATAGAAAATTAAAATGAAATTTTGAGCCCTATGTGGATCAAAGGGATTCCATTAGTTGGCAACCAACCTTCCCTCTCTCTTCCTCTCCGACGTGCATACACTCGATTGTTTTGTTCGCAGGGAACTCACAAATGCAAAGTATTACCTGGATTGGCTGGTCTATCATCTAAATTTCTATTAGATATGCTGCTGCCACTCTTTTTGTAAAATGTGGAAATTATTTATGTCCAACGGGATAAAAAGAAGGAACGGTCAGGTTTAAAGAAGTGCTTTGATGGGTGGGGCTGAAAATATTTACTGCTTCTTCTCTAAACTAACATGTTGCATTTATGGCAGCAACGTCTTGTATGAAATGATGAGAATCGGTAATGAGTAAGGTATAAAAAAGAGGTATTATGTAAGTGTAATTCCGTATTGGTTCGTCCAGTAAACATGAATATTTACCTTGATCAAGTCTTTTTGTACTTTGCTCATCCAAACCAGTTTCTGATGTTTTTTTGCCTCAAGAGAATACACGAAAAAACTTTTCGCTTATTCTTGGAAAAGCTGTCTGTCTGTTGACGACGTAGAAAATTTTATCCAGTATTTTTAAGCAGATGTCAAGAAAAATCCGGTATTATTAATTCAGACTTAATTTTTAGTTTAAAAGTGACTTAAAAAGTTTTATATCTTGTAATTGTTTTAGTTTTGAAAATGTGGATCTTCCGACTCGTCATAGTTTTAATATTCGTGTGCACCTTCGTCTTGTACAATTGTTCAGGACAGCACTTCCCTGCAAGTAAACCAGGCTTGACTTGGAATCAGCGGACGAATTATACTACAAATATATCCGGGTATCTGGCCAGTATTCCTGAAAATAATTGTCCTGCAGGGATGATTTATTCCAGGGTTTCTCAGAAATGTGTGCGATCCCAATTGTCCGTCTCTAAAGGAGTAGGACGACGATGAGAGATTAAAATATAAAATAATCTACCTACAATATACATTCACAGATGAGGTTAAATTTTGCAATATTTTATATATTTTAAGTATTGTAATAATTTTAAAAATTCGTGATAAGTGTAATTTCTTATCGGTGAGTAATTGAAGCTGTTACGAGAGCATTTTCCAGTAAAATAAATTTATCACACAAATATTTATTGATATTGTCGTGCATATAATTTCACCAGATTTATTCTGATGCATCTAACGGTAAAGCCAGGAATTTTACATCTGACCCCGCATCACTATTATTAGCTGTTAATCAATACTTTCCAATGCAGTATTAAATATTTATATTAGAACTATTTTTACACCGTCCAGTTCCTGATGTCATGCTATTTCACCCAAAATCTATTCGGTTTTAGATTTACTACACCATAATTATATTTGTTCCTTTCTCTTCTCTCAATATATTGGTTTAGCTGGATCCTCCAACCTCACATAGGCTCTGGATAAACCACAACTAGGCAAAACAAACCACAAAATATCCCTCAAATTCAATTTGAAATCAGAGTGGATAGCCTTATTAGCCCAACATTGTTAGCCCAACAGCAGCCCAACTAAATTCCATTAACTTTCTCAACCCCGTGAAAGCCAATGACAGCAGCCAAACCATGATTGAGCTGTTATTTATTACGTACAGCGTTGATTCACAAATGTGCAATTCTATTAAAATCATGGTAATAAATAAATACCCAATTTTTACAAAACGTGTCCAAAGGTCAGTGACGGTCAAGGTGATCAGAGACAATGTTGAACTCCTAGACCAATAATGAAATAAAAACCGCACTTTTGTGGCTTTTCAGCCTGGAGAGATGCAGGGTGAAAGCGTAGCATGGCATACATACGTTGTAAGGTGATCTATTTGTTTTAGCAGCTTTGATTGGAAGCAGCAGACCTTGACGGGAGCAGTTCCATCACCATCATGTTCCTTCTTTCCCTTTTGGTTACACATGTAGCTAACTTTCTCTGGTCATGATCCATTAGTCCTGTCAACAGTTGTTGGCTGATGTCCGTCCGTATACATGTACGAGTGAATTTCCTCGCATTTACGGACAAATAACACCCAAACAACAAACAAACATGGTTATACATAGCTGGTCGAATCTTCTTCCTTGTTCCGGTTCCAGGAATTCGGAATATGAAGCTGCTAGCCTGCTTAGTTAGTGAAGGTACATAGCGGATCCCTTATCATAGATAAGTACTACGTCAGATGATCACAGACTATGCACAATTACCAACAATGTCATTACACGAACCAAAGTAGTTTCTTTCTCGTCTCGGACTTCACCTACTTGCAGACATGCCTCCATCAACCAAATATATTTAGGGCATTATTTATCCACCACTTTTTGTCCTATTTGTAGTACTATTACATAGACCACTGCTGTGGTTTCTCTAATATTTACGGAATTCTAGCCCAAGTATTAATACCAAGCTAGATAAGGAAGGCAATATATGTTTGAGGAATTTAGGAATTCTGGATGTATTTCCAGCCTCCGAGGCTGCATCTCGTCTTCTCAACCCAATGTGGGATTGATTCTCTGGGGAGGAAGCTGTTGATGGTGCGGTTGTGTAAATTACATTTCATGGACAAGTAAAAATAAAAACGGGAGCCAGACGGGAATTTGAAATAGTGGATTTTCGTATACATACATAGCTCAGTCTTATATGTGTTGTAGTAGACGGTATTCTTGGTGCAAGTGGCACATAATAAATTGCACTGACCATAATGAGATTAGCTATTTGAGGGATTGTATTGTGTGGGTAGAGAATTTGGAAGGTAAGTATAATGCACATTGAATGAAGTTAAGAAAGTGTTAGACGAGGTACAAATAGCGAGGAAATAATACCATGTGCACCGTTTTATAAACATTTTTCATGTCTCGAGAGATCCATTATTTCTCTGCTTTTAAGCAAACTGTCCGAATAGGATCAAGGCGAAATGAGAAAGACCAGAAACCAAAAGTTTCTTTTTTTAGCCGGAGTCAGGGCTTATGGAATCGTCATGTTTGTCCGTCCGAGACACGATAGAGCCAAAATGGCTGAATGACCTACCGAGTTTCCGAAATTGTTTTAAAAGCAGAATTTCGGTATGGAGGCTAAAAATTACTAAACTTTTAAAGTAAAGATTTTAAAGGTGCAGGCCCACCGGACGCTACCGGTCTAACCATGGGAAGGATTTGTAAATTCTTCAAAAATTTGGTACCAGATATAAGAAAATATTTAACAAACATTTGACCATCCCTACCACGGGGGGTGGTAAAAGTAGTTCAATCAATTTGGACAAAAATTTGGAAGCGACTCTCTAAAAAAACTAACTCGGGCTAAATGAAGTCTTCTCTGTAGGTTATTTATCGTTATGCAACTTGTGAGCAGTGGCACAAATTTAAAATTATTCGAAAAATTAGATATAGATTTTGAGCGTGTAACATTTGCCGAGGGAGATATTACTTTCTTACTACATCCGGTTCCAGCTAATTAATGATGGCATTATGGAAATACATAGTTTACTTGGGTGAGAATGAGAACGCTGGTAATAAAATATTGAGACATAATTTTATGGTAATATTTTGTCAAAGCTTACAAGCCTGGTAGATGTGGATGCGAAAAAAATGATTTTTAAAATGGTACTACACTACTATTTAGACCCTGATTTATTAAACACAAACAAACTTTCGTTTTGTCACGTCTCATTTTGAGTATTATTTTCTGTTTCTTTTTCTTCATATTTTACCTTCTTTTTGACTTACTGTTCATGTTCGTATGTTAATTTATAGTACAAGATCACGATTGCGAAACTCATGGAAAGCTCTCATGAGAACAAAGGTGTGTGAGACGAGACAAATCAAGTGCGCCGGGATCCCAAAAATAGAGCGGTTCATAGAAATCCAGTCTGTTTTCATATTTTTCGTTTTCATATTCACAGCTATTTTAAATTTACAATAAAATGTGTGAAAGTAACGTTGGCTCAAGTTACGTGATTAGTTAACAAGCGAATTGTCTTCCGACCGAATCCTAGAGTTATCCTCCTACTCGTTCCTGAAAACGGCAAGTTTTGATATTCATATGTAATATTCATGTTGCATATTGCATATAAATACTGTTTCGATTTAAAATTTTAAGTATGTCTCTACAATAATATTAATTGATGAATTCCATTTGCTTGAATTTACAGATTGATAATTTCAAAGAATGGAACTCTCTATACTGAGCGAAATGGAAAACATTTCCAACCTTCATGACCCACCTCAACCGGAAGTTGAGGCGGGGGATTTTTTACTTACCAAAAGCCCAAGTCCACTACCAGCAGCAGAAGATAATGAAGACCTTGGGGCAGACCAGAGTGACAACGACAACATGGTCATTGCAGAAGAAAAGAGTGACGACGATGATGAAGACAGGAATATATCTTTCCGTTCAAAGAAGAAAACAAGGTTTATTACCAGTGATGATGAAGACGAAGACTCAGATTCTCCTCACAAGTCTCCAGAAAAGTCTCGGTCCCCAAGTCCATCGTCTCTATCCCCACCGTCAGATGTTCATGATTCTGCCGATGACGAACAGCTTCTCGATATTCCTTCCACAACGTATGGCAGATCATCTTCATTTAAAAATAGAAGACAAGTGTCTTCACCAACTCCGCCATCTCCACCCAAGTCACAAGAACGGTCTGCATTTTCTCTCAAAACGCTAGACCCTGACATTTATGGGGATGATTCTGAAGAAGAAGTCCGTAGTTTGCATAGCTATCATGGAGGAAATTCCTCAGATTCTGACCACCACCGTGAAAATGACGACAACGAGAATGAACAGAATAACAAAAAGACTGGTAAAACCAAGAAGAAGAGGAAAGAGCCACTTCCTAAGCGAAAAGCTAGTGAGAAGGCGAGAGAAACTATGATGAAAGAGTTGGCGTCAAAGACGCAGAAAATGGTTCGAGAATCCAGAATTGAACTCCCCTATCACAAGCCTAAGCAGTTGACGCTAGACGAGTTTTTGAAAAGGAGGAACCGAGCGAGAGCCCCACTTTTGGAGAGTTTAGTCCAATCTGGGGAAAATTTGGGGTGTGGGGCTCGGAATGGGATAAGTATGGAGGAAGATGTTCTCCCCATTCTGGCAGAAGTCGAAAAAGACGACGAGGAAATTAGAAGGAACAAGGAGTTGGCAGATATGCTGGAGAAGGTGGAACCTATAGTAGTACTGGATACACTGCCAATGTCATCCCCATTAGGGGATAATGTCGAGATGGAAGTGAACGATGAGGAGAAACAAGTTATCCCGTCGGAAGATCATCATCAGGAAGAAGAGGGGGTAGATTTGGTCAATGCAACTATTGTCACAGAAGAGAAAGACGACGTTGATAAGGGTGCAAAAGAAATGCCATCCAAAATTGATAATGATGATATCATCACGGATGAAGTTAAACAATTAGTAGAAGAACCAGTAATAACATTTGCGCAGGATGACGCTATTAATACGGATAAGAAGACTGAAGATAATGATAATCCTCCAACCTTTGACGAGCCTCTCGTCGTTGTCGAACCGGAAAACCAAACTGTTGTCATCCCCTCTTCACCAATCAAGAACCAAGAAGACGATCCAACCCCTAATATCACCACCACTTTAGAAGATCCCACGTCCACATTTATCCAGGACGAGGCCGCCTTAAACGCCTTCCTTTCCGAGAACAAACCCAAACCCAAGAAGCTAACAATAAAAGAAATGATAATGAGGATGCCCGGTTATGACAAGATTGCACAAATGAAACCAGTCATTGGCGGAGTTCGAAAGGGATTCAGGGTCAACCCAAACGAGATAATTGATCTCAGGGATGACCTGGATAAGAACAAACCGAGCAAGAATGCAAAAGCGATGGATACTTTGATAAGTCGTTTTGCCAAACATGCATGTGCTGGTGCGTCCTCAAATGTGGAAGATTCCAAACCACAACATTATAAGCTTCAGTTAGTTATTTACTTAAATAATTATATTTTGTATTGATTATTTGGATGCAAATTAAATAGTTCAATTTATTTAAGTGTCAATAAAATTGAGAAGGATTCTCAAGGAATGCTTCACTCCGTTGTAGACGATATTGACTATGTTTCTACCCCTGTGGATGACGACCTCGACATTATTACCAAAATAACCCGAACTACTGGATCCTCCCCTCGTGAACAAGTGCCTGGTGAGAAAATGTTTCGTCTCAAGAAAGCTCTCAAAGACAGCATTCGTGCCAAAAAGGCGAAAGAGTATGAAGAGAGAATTAAGCTGCACTCCATGTACAATGACGAGTTGGAGTTCAAGGATGATCTTCCCGATGATGAGATCATCCTTGATGACGAAGAGGGCGAAGGTGGAGTGTCTTCTGAAGAGGATGAAGAAGATGACGAAGAGTTTGACGAGGAGGAGGAGGAAGAAGAAGATGTAGAAGTTGTGTCTGGAACAAAGAAGAAACGAAAGAGGTTATTGTACGTTGATGATGAAGCTGAGGATGAAGATGGTGACCAGATGTCCTCCAGTGATGATGACGACGTAGATGATATTGATGGCGATGATGAAGGTGATGTTGAACTGGAAGATGTTGAAAATTCTCAGTCACAGAGCTCAAAAGTAGAAAATAGTGAAGACACAACTGATTTTAAATCGCAAGTGAGTACAGTTACGTATACTTTTTTCGATTATGCATGTGTTGTGCAGTTAACTATAATATAGTTTATTTCACAGATTCCGAAAACAGTAGTGTCCGACTTGGCCTCACAATCTCAACCTGTAGATCAAATTGCGCAACTTTTGTCAAAGACAGGCAATGCAATTGATGCCAAAGATCTCGACTTGTCCAATCTCTGTTCGGGCAGATTTCCTAGTCAAGAAGTACCACTCACCCCGTTCGAGAGTCAAGCTCAAGATTGCTTTGGATTTGATGAGGACGATGACGAAGAATTGGGGAACATGTCCCTTACCTCATATGCAACCACACCTGGGACAGGAGCTTCTAATATCAATAATGATACTTCTATCGTGTCAATCCCAATCGTTGGTGACGCCGAAGAAGCAGAGATTGATTTAAATGAATCTAAATCCGCCACTGAGAAGAAAAGTGATGAAACACCCAAACGAAATCATAATAGCATATTTGAAGAAGATATAGAAAATGCTTCAGATAACGACGACATTGTACAACAACCCAAAAAAATCAAACCAAAACGCCTCCACTTTTCAGACGATGAAGAAGAAAACGACGATAAGAACGAAATCGAAACCTCTGCTATGTCGTCACATGACGACAATGACGAAAATGAGACTAACGACGTACCTGACGAAATACCTAACTATGATGATGAGGACGACGACGAGGAAGCAGAATTTGAACGACAACTAATTCGTCAAAAAGAACAGCAAAAAGCAAAGCCCAAAGGTCTCTTTGGTGCAAATGGACTATTAAGGAAAAAATTTGTCGAACATGAGGCTGATCTGTCAGGGAGTGACGATGATTCTGGAGATGAGGACGAGCAAGGGTTGAATTTTTACGAGCAAGAAGATGGAGACGACGAGGAGTTGGATGAAGATGCAGTACGGACTGAAATTGAGAGAGCTCATTTGAAACACTTGTTGGACAAAGATGACATGGAGATTCGAGATTTGCAGTACGAATTTTTAGAAAAGGGGGATTTGGAAGATGGAAAGCAACGAGAGAGAAAATTTAGATGGACTGATGTCGATGGTATGCAAGCGTTAATCAACCATTATAATTCATGACTCGACATTATATGAATTATTATGAATGGTCATGAAATTGAATTAATTTATTTTTAGACGCTTGGGGTGATGACCACGCCATGATGGGAGATTTCGATGGTGATGGCGTTGGAGAGGAGGAAACAGAAGAAGACGCGAAGCAAAGAATTGCAGAAATAGAACGTCGAAAATGGATAAATGAAAACTCTCAGATGCTAGAAGCGACAGAAGAAGAATCTCAGAGAAGCATGTTTGAAAACAGCAAATTCTTAAAATTGGGACGCACTACAAAAAAGAAAATTGAAAGTTTTATAGAAAATTCTTCATCAAGTTTCATGATGATGAACGAATCAAGTAACAGCGTTCAGCAAGATGCATCATTTTCTGCCTTGATTAAATCGAAAATTACTGGAAATCCGCAAAGTTTTCTCTCTGCGTCAAAACTCACCAACAATGCCATATCTAAAGATGAAGAAGACTCGGTAAAATTGTCGTCAAAGTCACAGCCCCTGTTTGCTTCACCAGATGATCCGTGCTCGAAAGTAAGAACAATTTCTATCACTTTCATTTCGAAACTACATCAAAAAATAATGGAGCTTGTACATACTAATTTGCTGTGTATCATTATTAGATGAAACGAGGCTCCTTCTTGTCCCGAGGTTCTCCATCGCTGACACGTCTCGCTGAAATTACAAAATTAAACGTTCCTAAAGCTAACGATATAACAAGCAACGTCAAGAATAACTCTAGAAATTTCGTCTTTTCCGTTATAACCCCTCCGGATCAAGCTTCAAAACAGAACAATAAGGTGATTATGCTTTTCCATTGTCCATATTTATGAATTTTCAAATAATCAAACATTTATTGCAGGCTGCCAAGCGTCCAGCACACAGTCAGGGAGCGCAACCCAAGAAATTTGTGAAAATGGATCGGTCTTTCAGCAACATGGATGATTCGAGTAAAGATGCAAGTATTTTTAAGTGGTTTTAATCTTTTATTGGGTGCAATTTATTTTTGATTATTTATTATTCTAATTAATTTAAAAATTGAATGATTGTTGGTTGTGTGAGCAATACTTCCTATCTCATATATATGTACATAGTTATATTTGGATATAATTGTGTATTTTGTAAATTCTGTTCAGAACTAAAAGTAAATCCGCATAAAATCGTAACTTTAATACCTAATTAATCCTAATTATTGCAATATTAAAGCTCATGAATGTATATAGGTGCAAAGAAATGTCGCTTCCCATTTAATTTGCCAGACTCACATTTGGTTTAAAATTAATATCTTCCGTTTAAAAATTGAACTGTTACAAAAATTTTCGGACTTCCTTCATTTGTTTATCATACTCGATGTATCGTAGTCCGAAATATCTGATGAAATAGAACAGAATTCAATTAAACATGACAATCAAGTTGAATATAATATTCCTCTTACCCAGCAAAATCGAAATCAATCTTTGAATTATGAGCTTGAACAATGGCCCACAAGCTCCAAAAAAGGTGTGAAGCCGGTTGGCAAAGCTCGATCCAATATTCAAACTTTTCCTGTGATAATTCCACCCCCTCCAATTTAAAACCTTTCAAATATTCTGCAATCCACTTGGATTTGAAAGCACGATCTGGGCATTTGTCAAAATCCGGATTGTCAATCCCTATGAAACAAGTGTAAAATAATAGATCGATATATTGTAATTAATTCATAAACTGGCCTCTTTAACCAATCTGCGTCTTACCAGCAAATTCATTAAAGTGATTCGCAACATCAAAGGCTGGGTAGTTGGGCATGGCGTACTCGAAATCGATAAATGACACTTTGGAGGTATTGGGGTCATAAATGATGTTACCGAGAAGGAGGTCATTATGACAAAATGTTATTGGCATATTTTGTGATTTCAAAATATTTTCCATTTCTTTAATCGCACGAGTTCCAAAACCGGGGGACACGTCGAATCCGAACGTTTCCAACCTGCATTTTTTTTAATTCTCTAAAACATTAATAAAACCGATTTTAAATTTAAATACCACTACCCACCTTGCAACCAGAGTCGGATTCGTTTGTAAAATTTCCTCCACGAGAGCATCAAACGTTCTAATTTTATTCCACATCCCGGCCTCTTCAGCATGATTCCCAGCAAGACCGTTGGAAGGAATGTCGCAGTGCATTTTCACCATCTCGGCCACAACGCGAGGATACACTTCCGGTGATCTTACGTCTTCCATTGACAAAATCCTGCCTTGGATAAATTCGTAGCAAATTCCATTTCGGAAAATCGCATAGAGTTCTGGTCCTAATCCATAGCCGTGCAGTAGCTACACAAAATTATGTATATCATTTTTATACTCATCGAATTTTAATGATAGTCGATAAATAATTATGTATACAATCATCGTATCGATTTCTGCTTTTCGGTCAATCATGAGCTCGGTGTTTTGACCGTACCTAAAATGAAATATGATACAATATTTACAAATCTTTAAAAAAATTGTAAAAATTAGTTTGTAAAACAAAATTTTACTTACATTCTAATCATTACGACATCCTCGCCAATCTTTCCATCTTGATAGTAGCCGATCAGTTTATTACTAATTCCACCGGTGTAAAGCTAATTATATTTGCATACAAGAATCATTAGTAAATATTCGTTGTGAAAATGAGCATACTTTCTTCTACTCACCTTAGACCGAACAGTTTCCGGATTCCAATTCGGTCTGACAACTTTAATGATTTGGAACGCATCTTCTTCTAAAGTTTCATCGCGTAGAGTTATTTCTAACGTGAGTGGCATAATGTTGTATTTTGTAATGAAATAACGTCGATAAACAAAATATTGGCAGAAACTTTAAGAACTTTACAACTCGGTTCAAGTGTAAACTAGTGACTGCAAGAGGAAAAGACAGAACTGGAATGTCTAGTCGAATGCATTACATAAGTGTTTCCTAATAAACCGCAGTCGTCTCGTTTAGTATTCTGGTTTCGTTAAATCATTTAACAAGTAAAAGTAGCTCAACCAATCTCGATTGACAATGGACTGCAATTAAAAGAGTTGCGTGTCTGCAGAGTAAGAAGAGACACGCACGTTTGTCTTTGTCTTTAAAATTGAATAACTGATTATTTCAGAAAAGTCGCTATGTAGCCGGTTTAGGGAAACGATGTAAATTTTGCGTTGGGTGAAGGTGAGCCCAGATTCATTAATATGATACCCATTATGCAACACATTTAGCACAGAGATAAGGCAAATTGACACTATTGATGTTGAGTACAATTGTCTCACTTCTTAAATTACACAATTTAATTGGTTCCCTCATTATCAGTTAAGTGACAAAATAATCTCTTCATTTCTGGGTTTATTATACTTCATGCAAACACTTGAAAAATTTATGTAACATCCAATACTGGATTCAGTTGTGATTGTCTCGATTACTTTCCCTGGCTGGATTTTGAAGATGAGCAGATGAGAAAGTGCATAATGCAAATGAAATCCGGGGTTCTCCTTATGTGGAATCTGTTCAATTTATTTGTAGCAATCATTTTTATTTTGCAAAGTAGCAGGAATTGTTTCATATTTTGTTTAACTCATACAAATGAGAGTATCTCGATTTTTTTTAGATCTGCAACTTATTTACTTTGACAATAATACCTAAAGTTTCTCTATCTATACTCCGAATTTTTAGGAGAGCAAAATGTATTAAGTCAGACTTTAAATATGTATCGTCAAAACAATCACAGAGACTTCGTACAATATAGATTATTCTTACTAACTAAATATATTTAAACAGTTACATATGCTAACTACATGAACTTCAGTTGACATTATTATTGTGGTTTTTGACACTTGTAATAAATTATTGCATTTACGGTCACAACAACATGATGCGGAAATGGTTAATCTAATTTACCCATAAAAACTAGAATTTAGAGGATATTGAAATTATTGTGATAATTTGGCCACCCAATTCGTACTTTAGAGTTCAAAGATTCATTTTGAGTCGAGTTGTTGAGAATATATATTAATTTGGAGTTTCTTTTGAGATTTCCCATAAATTTCAGATTTATAAATTATTTAACTACTGGTCCTCCCCTGATAATGAAGTGAATGGAAATTTCCGTGTAGCAAAGAAGAAATATCTGCAAAAAATATGTATTTTTAGACATCGACTATGTAAAGTCGGTGTTTTTCAGAGACAATTATGACTTACATAAAACTGAGCAAAATGATTGCATGCAGGAACGCCGATAAACCAAACACAGCTCCAGGCCAGGAATGTACGGTACTGCTGTAGAGCGGATTGAACAGTAAACCTGCAATGATTGGCATGCATGCCTCCCCTAGAAAATCATAAATTAATATAATATAAATTAATATTCTGAAATCTTAATTGTCCCACGTAACGGTTACAACATACCGATTGAGACGAACGAAAATGCTTTCGCAAGTTCATCTTTCGCAACACACTTTGACACCATGGATCGCATCACGATTGTTATGAGACCACTAAACATTTGCAGTACAGCACCTGAACATTTACATATAAATCAAATACAGTTTGTCCTCAGCGCTAACCATATATATTTTACTATAAAATTACTATCCTTACCAAAATACATCGCAGTTCCAACTTGGGCGCTGGCGAAACACAAGTTTGATACTACAAATCCTACAGCACTAAAAATCCCAATTATGGCGTCCCTTATTTGTAGCGTTTTCATAAGGAGAAGCGTAATCAATCCACCCGAAAGACAAATTGCCGTGTCAGCCGTGGTGAATTTAGAAAATGCCTCAGTGTCCCATTGAAATTTATTCCGTGTGTAGAGATAAGCAACTTGCATCGTTCCAAATAACGCCAGCATTCGGAGAAATATTGTAATCATCAAGAGAATCACCCACCTTGAGTGTAATAATAAAACTTTATCAATTTGCATAATTATATAAATTGTAAATGTATTTAAATTCATTATTCATGCGTACGTTCTTAACGGTCCTTGTCGTTTTCGAGTAACAGTGGATAGTGTATCCTCTACCGAGCGAAGATCAAACACTTCAAGGAAAACTTGACGAAGTCTCGTATTGTGGATTGACTTTCCAGGAAGCTCTTCAATAAAGTAGAAGCCATAAATCAGTGCGATCGTGAAGCACAACGCGGATATGAGGAATACAGGGACAAATCCATAGTCCTTATAGATCTGGAAAATGAAGATAACTTTTGATTTAGCTTGTCATTTAAAAGTCAGTTAAAACGAAAAATGTACCTTGGACGCAACCAGAAATCCTAGCGTCCCAAGAAACCAACAACCTTCGAGCACTGCAATTCTAAAACTTCGATTCGCTACTGTGGAACGGTTAGATATCAGCGTAAAAGCTGACATAAGGAATGCAACCAAACCTCCAGTAAGACTGAAAAAGGTTAACACTAAATAAGTATTTACCGGCATCTCAATTAGTAGAAAGCCAATTAGTAGAAGAGACTCACCTAATTGGTATTGAGCAGATCAAGACGTATGCAGCAGGAATGGATGGGACCATACTCACGAAGCAGTACATCAAGGAAGCAATTATGTAACCGAGCAGACAAAATAAAATTGGTAGCTTAGACCCATTCCGATCTACAAAAGGACCCTGTCAAAATAATCACCCTTATTAAATAAACTCCTATATCAAAATCCATACCAAATTAACTTACTTACCAAGAACAACGCAAATAATACAGGAACTAGTGCCTCAATTATCGACCTGTAACAAAATAACCATAATTAACTATTTGTTTCATTAAATTACGGATCACATTAATCATCAATTTGACACCACGCTCACCTATACATATTGTAAACGGCAGCATCCTGCTCCACCAATTTCTCCTGATCTGGATTTTTCGTCAAATTCTGACACAGCTCGGGGTCAAAGTTATGCTCAATTCGACATATCCGGTCAATATATAAATTTTGTACGATAACCGTGGTGCACGTGTATCCAATCATGTGGAAGAACATGAGCAGTTCTATGCTATGATTCTCCTTGGCAGACGCGATCAAATCCTTCAGAAATGGAATCAAGGCGACGTTTCCGTTTGCATTTCGTCCCTTGTCGTCATTCCCCATCATTCGATATGAGAGATTATAGTCGGAACCCGTAATTGGAGATTCTTCACTTGGGTGCATCATCTTTATCGGAGTTGCAATAATTATCTACTCGAAACTGGTAACTTTTGCACCAAAATAATAAATAAATGGCGGAGTATAATATATTGACCAAAATTCTGTCCTTGGTTGGTGTGCGTATATTATTCACTTGCTATTATTGACTCAAAGAATTGACATGTCTATTTCTTGAATAATTTAGTCGTTCCTCGTTCGTTTCCCAATTCGATATCTACAAAATATGGCCATAAAAATATACCAATTAATTTATATTCTCATAAAATGTTAAAGTTATAAAAAAAATTAGATGTGTACCTCAGCCGAATGATAAATATGCTATTGTCTCAAGTTATTAAAATCTAGAGCAAGTTTTGTTACACGCATATTTAATTCCTGTTCCACTTACAATAAATTTACTACAAATATAATGATCAATTTGCTTGGGTGTTAATGATTCAATTTCTACTTATATTTTTAGTAAATTTCAATCGACATTTTATCAAAAATATAGCATTTTAGAAAATTGTTAAACTTTGAAGCCCTAAAAAAAACCTAACCAACTGTATAATCTTCTAAACTCACGTATGACGTATTTATCTCTACATTAACCATGATTAACATAAAACCAAGGCAAGGGAATAAAATTTGCAGTAAAATGTTCCACTACTACGAACCGAGCTATTACATATTATGACTTGCTGTCTAAACTATTGACTAAATATTATTGACTACTTTAGCAGTTTTACAAACTACACTTTTCCCAAAGTGCGATCTTCCCTTGTGCAGCTGAGAATAGAAGAAAAGAGTTCGTTCATATTGCATGCTGCATATTATGTTATGTACATACTGGGCCCACTGTAACTGTAAGTGGCTGTTTTCTTCGAAACCGACAGAGATAATGAAAATCTGATGATTGCATTGGATTCCCCGTGCGATTTTGCATAAGTACCATAAATCAGTTTTTTACTATTTGCAATGCAAATTCGCATGGAAAATGTTGAATGGAAGCGGGCGGCGAAAATTTTTCATTACAAAAATGGGGAGAGAAATGGCGAATTTTAAAAGTGTGGCAGGAATCGAACGAGCCGTATAATTTAGCCCAACAGACTATAAAGACGTTCATGGGGACGGGGTGGACTAACAACAGTCGAAGAAAAAATTTTTGAAATCCTACAAGGACCACACCCATCATGAAGGCGCTGAAGGATGGAATCCGAAGAAATTCACGAAATTCCAACGGAAACCAACCTCACAGCTGACAGTGTAGAAGCAGATTATTCAATGAGTGCTTAAATTGAACCTTAGACTTAGGACTTTGAAATGTGGTACTTGCCACATGCCGACCATCCCCCAAAGGGAAACCAGATTAAAGAAACCCAGGAGTGACTTCAAGCGGTACGCTCAGAAAAAGTGACGAGGATTCTATTTACAGATGAGGAGATTTTCACATAGGAAAAATATTTTAACAAGCGAGTTGGCCTTATCTACGCCAAATCTGTCAGAGACATCCCCCAATATAGACAAAAGGTCAGAAAGCCACATTATCCAAGCTTTGTGATGATTTTGGCAGGTGGGAGCTAATTGGGGCAATTTCTCTACATTTTGTTGAAAATGGGGGGAAGGTGGGGGGATCAAATTTCTTAAAATACGTTTTCGAGTCCGCGGTACATCCCCTAAGTGAGATCCAATTCATTGAAGTCGACTGGACCTTGCAGTAGGACTAGGAATCAGCTTATAGTGCAAAAAATGACCCAAGCGTGGGTAAAAAACAAAATTCCGAACTTTTCCTCCTCTCGGAAATGGTAATTCTACTTTCTGGATTTGAATCTCCGGATTATGAAAAATGGTCAAAGTTAGGGGCAAATGTGTGTTCTAAGCCTCGTAGAAGTGTAGAGATCGGAAAAAAATTTTTGACCACGGAATGGAACACTTTGCCCAGGAATTAGTGCGTGCTTCAGCGGAGAACTGCAGGCGGTTTCCTCAGCGCTGCATTAATGGCAGGGGAGGAAATTTCGAAAACTAAAAATTGTTTTCTACTCAGAAATTAACTGGCTTTCGGTTAAAATTAACTCGAAATTCGTAACATAAAAACTGTTGAAGCCACAGGGTTTCATTTCACTTACAGTTTCAGTGGGCCACCTAGTACATAGGCGTTCTATACCGAATCATGGTTACACAGCAATTCACCGACATTGTGAATAAATTTGCAATAAAGTTTTATTTTATAATTTACGAACTTCACAATAGTAAAATATTTCATTCTATGCATACGTAGTAAAACTTTCAAGATGCATTTACAAAGTTAAATTATTTAAACGAGTTAAAAACAACGTGGTTTGCATTGAAATAGTTTGGAAAAATGGTATCTACACAATATTAAAGATGAGTAGGACCGCGTTAAGATTACAAGACAAAAAATATCACACGTCAGTATTAAAAGTAGTCATTTACTAAATGGTCGTTAAGCTTCAGCCTCATTTTCATTCCTCATATCCTCGTGAGGAGCGTAATATCGCATGGATATGTAGAGATAGCTGGATGGAAAGGGGAATAGATTGGTTACATTTTTGTAAAATTATTCAGTTTTAGAAAATGGATATGTTCTTACACAAATGCGATAAGGATGATGATGTAAAAAGATGTGGAAATAAGAAATACTGAGCCAGGAAATGTGTTGAGTGTACTGTTATACACGAGGTTGTACAATGGGACCGCGATTAAAGGCATCGACGCTGGAAGATAAATGAAAATTAATTATACGTAATATAAATTAGGCAGATAAATTATGTAGGGTTTTTTATATAAATATTATAAATCTAACCTTCCCCACAAGCAAGAAATGTAAATACTTTTGCAATCTCCTCTTTTGCCACAATTTTTGATAACATGGCTCTGATCACAATTGATATTAATCCGGCAAACATCGACATTACAGCTCCTGTAAATGTACACAATTTGTTTAGATTGAATAATAGATTTTGTAAATGTGTGTAATCATCATTACTCACCAAGATAAATCATCCACCCAGCGGAAGCAAAGGCAAAAATTAGTGTCCCTAAAACACTTCCTACTGTACCAATGATGCCTATGATGGAGTCATTCAGCTTAAATATTCGCATAGTTATCATCACCATGATAAAGGTCCCTGAAAAATAAGCTCATATCATGAGTAATCTTGTGCAATTTAAAAGATCTTAAGAAATCATTACCGGTAATAGCTATGAAAGAATCGGCTACACTGTACTGGGTATAATTTGCTAGATTCCAGCCAAATTGATGCCTCGTGTAGAGATACATCGTGTTGAGATAGCCCATCATTATAAAAATTCGGAGACAAATTGTTATCAACATGATATGCATCCATCTGGAATAAATATGACCATCATGGATTAAAATATAAAATCTTCTTGAAATATGATCTTGATCTTAACCTTTTCCTTCGTAAGAGAATTCTCAAAAATATCCCGTTGCTGCGGAATAGCAACGCCTCACAACCATAGCTTGTGGCGTAGCAATTTTTGAATTACCAAACTTTATCACGGAGCAAATGAAAATTTCAGTGATACGTTCCATGGATATATTTCCAAAATTATTCAACTTTCTGTGGAGGCATTTTACTTCAAAAATGACGTAATCATGGAGACATTTTAGCCCGACCCAGGACTTATGTACCCTTGTTGTCCATCCGTCCGTCTTGCGTCTTGACTTAAGAAACTTATTCTATCAACTTCAAATTTCGGAAAATTAAAAATGACAAAGTAATAGTATAAAATTTAAAGTCGATAGGATAGATTTATGAGAGTTATTGATAACCAGACAGGCAGAGACACACCGGACAAAGCAGGTACACAACCCCTGACTCGGGCTAAAAACCGAATTTTTTTCAAGATGTGTAAATCCATGGAAAAAATATTTTTTCAATGAGAGGAAATATCCTTCACTACGCAATAAAGTCACAGACCAAAATAAAGGATATTTCCTTCTTTCCGTGTCTATGCCGAATTTTGAGACAACGGATAAATCCGTTGCTCCGTCGCAACGCCTTAAAAATTAGGATGGAAATATCCTCTGTTCCGTCACAACGCCAAGTTTATGACGACGGATATTTCCATTGTTCCGCAGCAACGTTCGAAATCCGGGGACGGATATATCCATCGTTACGAAGGAAAGGGTTAAGGCAAAATACCGTCTGCATTTTCCAGGTCGTTCGATAGCAATTGTTGCAAAAATATCTTTTACAGCTGCAACATTAAACATATCCGAACAACAGTGGCGAATCTCATCCTCTGGTCGATGATTCGATTCTTCTTGAATTGCAATTACCCCATAGATGAATGCAATGGCGTAAAGAAGTGCACATGTAATGAAAACGTTGTTAAAATCTCCATATTTGTAAATGTAGCCTCCAGCAATTAATCCGACAGGTCCTGCATTAGAATCATTTAAAATTATGTGTACTCGTCATTTTTTTAAGAAAGTCGAATTGACAATTAAATCTATGGATTTCACCTCCCAAGAACCATGAGCCTTCCAACATCGCGACGCGAAAACTGCGATTTTCGACCGTTGTAATTTTACTCATATACGAGAACACAGACATAATCATGGCTGGAAATAAATACCCACAAATTTAATACTTCCTTGAAAATGGTTGACCTAAGTATGTAAGTGTTGAATACCTACCTACCATTCCCCCAGTAAGTGCGACAGGAATAGACTTTAAATAGTATATGAAAAATTAAATTTCTGGCTTGATTCAAGTCACATAAACTTCAAAACTTACAGCAAATAAAATGTATTCGGGTTGAAGGTCCGGAGCATACGTCATAATGAGATAAGTCAATGCCGACAGTAAATACCCCAAAAGTGGGAGGAGGATGGGATATTTAGCTCCTATTATGATAAAATTTTTATTCCTATCAAATATAAATAATTTATATTGGATATTTAGTTAAATGAACAATAAGTCACCATGCACGTCAGTCCAAGGTCCCAAAAACAGGGAGAATAGGATCGGAAACCCTGCTTCAATTAGACCTCGATACGTCGTGAAGATCGTTACATGGTGTTCAACCTCCGTTTCTGAGAAAGAAATTATTTTAATTATCCAATCATCCCTTTGTATATGCAAATTTACAAAATTTCCTTGATACCATAATTACTATATTTTGGATCTGTCAAGTTCTCACAAATGTCCTTATTATATCCCAGCGTCACTCGACAGACACGTTCCAAATACATGTTTTGCACGACGACAGAAGACCCTGCGATTCCCACCATGTGTAAAAACATGAGAGGTTCGATCGTAATATTTTTAAAAATATTGGAAGCGGTTGGTGGCTGTTCTTCTGAAGAAGATGGAACGTTGACGGGACGGATTCCATTTTGAAAAATGGAATCGTCATCTTCAGAAGAAGACGAGGAAGACGTTAACGAATCTCGATGGTTGGTAGGCGTTCTTGTAGGTTGTCGTAAATCGACCGGATGTCCGTTTTGAGTCCGAGGTATGTCGAATGGTTCGTCCATCCTTTTATTTGAAATATTTATATTGGAAGGAACAAAGGAAAGAAAACTTGTTCTACGGAACTACGTGACTTTTAGCTGAACCACATTAAGCCACTGCTGGACTCTGGATTATGTCTGCAATTAAAATAATTGTTATAGTTCATGCTAACCTTTTACATATTTACTTTAGTCGTAATCTTACATGGTCAAACTGCTACTAGAGTAAACCTTTGTTTTACTTTAACGTAGCTAAAAGTCAATAATAACTTATTGCTATTTGCCTGACTCATCCTTCTCCACTTGTAGGAGGCACATGATCTCGTATCGTTGTTAATGCAGTGTAATGATCTATTGTGTATTTTTATTAAGCACAAACATGGAGAACAAATGTATTTATCGTACAATTCAAATGTATGTAAGTATGTATAAAAACATCTGATCCATGAACAAATCCACTTTTCCCCTTGCATAACAGAATTCATAATAGGATGAAAGAGAGAGAGAGACGATCCGTTTCTTAAATAAAAGCCACAGCTACGAGAGATTCAGATTCATACATGAAAATTGTTAAGCGAAATAAATGTTGTGTGATTTAGTTTTAGAGGTGTGTAGTGTGTCAAATTCCGATATGCATAACTTTATCACTTCGAGATAATACAGTCTTGTTCCAGGCATGCAAAATCATTCTGAAGATTTACACATACTCTGAGTGAGTTATATCATCGGTAAATTCCACCCATCAGTTGTAATATAGTTGGACACGTCAAAATTTAATTCTGATATGCAATAAAGTGTCAAGATATCGATATAATGATATACGTATGACATATGCAGACTAATACGCATTTTCATTCATGTACGTACATACCAACTTGTCAAGTTTTTTTTCGTAGTCCGCGTTTAAAAATTATGCAGGGCTTTAGCTAGAGTACCACTGAACTTAATCACAACTATGTTTGTATACATTGCTATTATGCGATGCGATACTTTCAAATGCATACATCCTTTGAAATTGTGGTTACACAAAAAACAACCACACATGGCAAGGACACAGTCTCCTACAGGTAGATATTCAGGTAAAAATCCGCATGCCAGGTTTATTATGAGGATACAATAACCTCACATCCGAATACTTATTAAGAAGACCTTATATAAGTAATATCAACACGCAGCAAGTTTATTAACCCATGAACTGCTTCTACTATTACAAAAATATTTGTACAATAATCTTCAACATTTACACAATAAAAAAAAACTATTTACAAGTTTGCATCCATCTCAATATTTTAGTAAGTCAGAGGTTAAAATATAGGTCTTTTAAGTGCGTATTTAAGTATTCTATTCTGAGAAGTGATCCAAAAAATAAAACATTGATTTCATATAAAAGGCAACACGGAAAAAGTAATGACAACCAATGACAGTTGTTGATCTGATCTGTCTGTTCTCCATCCATAATAATCAAGTGCTTTCGGACGAGACACACCACATTATTATACGAATGCATACACATATTTAGTCACGCAACCATTGTACAATAAAAGGTTGGACTGGAGAGGGTAAATACGTCTTTTAAGCAATATAACCGACCGACCTTTGGACACTTGTTGTATACTAAAACGACGGACAGTCAACTTTTTTAGCAGATCACAAGCTTCGAGTCGGACGAGAAGAACAGTTTAATTGATCGCGTCGTGCCTTAACGGACTCTGTAAACTCTGTCATTTTTCCCCCGTAATCTAATATTGACTCAAAAAATAGTGGAAAAAATATTTGATATTTGAACTAAATAATAATAATAGAAAAGATAAAGCAATGCCTCGAGGGTTACATCGACTTTTACGTGTTGGAAATGCAACGCAACGCCACGTCGCCTTGATTAATTCACGTCTTTATTCCGCCTCTGCTTCCGCAGTAGCGCAACAATCTGACCATTCGGGATTTGACTCGGGAAAAGATGACCCAAAATTATGGGTCAAGTCGCCCTATCCCGACGTGCCTAGGATCGTCGGGGTGGAAATGCATGAAGTTTTGTATAGCAGGATATCAAAGTGGCCCAATTCACCGGCATTTGTAATGCATTATTTTTATGGAATTTTACAAGTTTTATGTAGTGTTTTTTTATGATTTTTTGTATTCAAGGAATGTGGAGTCACCGGAAAGAAGCTCACGTTTGGAGATTTGTACCGGCACTCGAGATCACTGGGGGCCGCTCTGATTCAAGCTGGATATAAGCCTGGTAATTTTTTGGCATTCATAATTTTTACAACAGATGTAAAATCAATTTTTAAATGTGGTCTGCAGGTGACACTGTGGGAATAGTTCTCCCGAATATGCCAGAGTTTTCCGTGCTAATGCTGGGATGCTGGAGTGCTGGATTGATTGTATGTACATAATAATTATAAAATAATCAGTTTCTCATTTTCCCCCACGCTAATTATAATTCCATGTATTTTCATAGATATCATGCATCAATCCAGCCTATACTGGAGACGAGATAAAACGACAGCTTAAAAGCTCGAATGCCAATTGTGTGATTACGATAGAGCACTTTCTGGACTCCGTCCGCTCAGCGAAAGCCGAGAATCCTGGACTTCGAGACATCATCGTTATTGGGGACGATGGGACCCCCGAGGGCTGTCATTCTTATAACGAGATGATTAAATGTGATGCGTCTGGGGTGGAATTTTCATCCGGGTCTAAAAACGGGAGAAACACGATGGAGGACATTGCTTTACTTCCATACAGGTTCGCAATTTGAAGACATACTTGTTTAATTAAGGGTTTAATAATGTTAATTTAATTAAAATGCAATTAACAGCTCTGGAACGACAGGTAAGTACATTAAGTTTAATTTAAATTCAAATTTAAGTGAGTATACATGGAATCATGATTTCGAACAGGTCCACCAAAAGGCGTAATGCTCACTCATTCCAATATTGTGACCAATATACACCAATTTGTAGCTCATGGTGTTGGCGTAACACATAATTTTGACGAAACCGGGTCTCAAGAACGGTTAATTGGCCTGTTGCCCTTCTTTCACAGTATGTGCATACCTAACGCAATATGCCAATAAACTAATTCTGGCTGTTGGTCGTAAAACAATATCCCTGGTCGTCATTTTTAAGAATTTTTGAGCAGTTGCTAAGAAATGGTGCAAAATTTAGAGGAATAATTTCATTGAATTTACATAATTTACAGTGCAGACTCCATATAGCCCGAGCCAGGGACTTAGTCTCTGACCACTCCGATAACCCCCAGTGGTCAACCACTTGACCGATTTCGCCAATCTTCAAACTCGTTTCCTAACTTTGTCCAATATGCATATGGTAAAAATTTCAAGTCAATCGGTTCAGTCGTTTTGGCTCTATCGTGTTTTGGGACGGATGAACGGACGGAAATTATGACGGTTCCATAAGCCCTGACTCAGGCTAAAAAATTACCGGCGAGAAACTGACGTTGAAAGCGATCTAATTCCAGTAAATTATTCCTCTAAATAATGCACCATTTCTTAGCAACTGCTCAAAAATTCTTAAAAACGACGACCAGGGATATTGTTTTACGACCAACAGCCAGAATTAATTAGTCATAACAATTTGTATGTATCTATGAATGATGTTGTAGGTTATGGTTCTGGAGCATTTCTCATGAGTGGGGTATACCAGGGATCTCATACTATGAGTTTGCCTAAATTTGACCCAAAAACATTCCTAGATGCTATCAGGAAGCACAAGGTATTGCAAAATTAAGAACAAAATTTATAAAATAGTCATCGATCTATACAGTCATTTTATTGATTTCTTAATTAATTTTCAGCCTACTTGCCTGCAATTGGTAAAATTTTTAAATATTAATATGTAAAAACATTTAAAAACATAAATGTACAAACGTCTAATTTACTTATTTTACTAAAGGTCACTCCTCTAATTTCACTAATTGTTAACTCTGACGAGTACACAAAGCACGAATTTGCTCATATGCATTCAGTCGTTGGTATGCTTATTGATTTGATTATGCATTAATTGCTGACACAACAGAGTTTTGATTATATAATTGGTCTCATAGGAGCTGCCGCACCCATTGGAAAAGTGCTGATTGAGCGAATGTTGAACAAGATTGAAAAATATGCATTCTTTGGCGAAGGATATGGTACATACTAAATTAGATAAATTGTTTACAATTTATGAATGGTATTAATTTATTGCAAAATGCACATTTTTTCAGGAATGACTGAACTTTCGCCACTTTCCCATTTCCTAAATCCAAGCACAAGGAATACAAAGGCAGGATCGTGTGGAAGGTGTGTTCCGTCCACATGGAGTAAGGTCATCGACATAAAAACCGGAGAAACTTTAGGTCCAAATTGTCGCGGAGAATTATTAGTGAAGGGTCCGCAAGTATGTAAAAAATAGCTTTACATAATTTAAATAAAGATCGATGCAAGCTGTTTTCAGGAATGTATAATTTCTAATCTAATTTTTAGGTTATGAAAGGATATTACAACAATGAAGAAGCCACGAGGAATACCGTAGATGTTGATGGTTGGCTGCACACGGGTGACATTGCATATTATGACGAGGAAGGCTTTTTCTACATTGTTGACCGACTCAAGGAGCTCATCAAATACAAAGGGCTCCAAGTAAGTACCAGTAGCAAAGATTTATCCAGTGCATTATGCAAATCCTTCCCAATTTACTTCACAACTTATTTTGTGAAGGTCGCTCCCAGCGAACTTGAAGACGTCCTCCGCAAGCATGACAAGATCCAGGACGTTGCAGTGATTGGAATTCCTTGCGTGGAAAGTGGTGAAGTCCCGAGAGCCTACATCGTAAAGAAAGACAAGAGTCTGACGGACGAAGAAGTTCACAATTATCTCAAACCAATCGTCGCCAGTTTCAAGCGACTTCGAGGCGGCATAGAATTCCGTGAAACAATTCCCAAAGCACCCAGTGGAAAAATCTTAAGACGCGAATTGGTTGAAGAATACCGGAAGCAGAATCCAGAATAAAATTCATAGGATTTAGACTTAATTTGACATAATTTCAATTCTACTCTGGACAAAGTGTAAATATCACATATTTTTATTTAATTTCACATCAACCGTTCGTTCGATCGTTAGCAAGTATAATTTACAATAATAAATAATATGTACAACAACAATAAATTAATCACAGATTGAATTGTTAAAAATATTGGTTTACAGTCAATTAGACTGATAACCAGAAGCAGTATTATAAAAAATACTTTCCGGATAAACTTATTCTTACACATAAAAATTGGAGTGTCGATATTTTAAAGTATTTTTAAGTTTAAAAAGTTTTTAATGAAATAAATCAAAACATATTTTAAAATGTTGTGTAAGAGTTTAAAAAGTATCATTAGCATTTTCCTTCATTTCGTCTTCATCATCTTGGGTCATCTTCAACTTCTTCGGAATTATACTCTTTTTCTTGGGTTTTGTAGTCCGAGGAAGGGAAGAAATTTTATCTTTCTCAATTTCCGAAGCGGCGAGATGATACCAACTGATGACGGGCTGCCCCAGTTTTAAATTTTCCAATGGAATTGATACAGATCCAAACAGTTTTGCGTTCCGAGTAGCCTTGTTATCACAAACTTTGACTTCGAGCACACTTCCCGTGAGATCTTGACTTTTGAGGGGAAAATTGAAGATTTCGATGTATTGAGCGTCATTCTTTTCCAGCTTCAGTTCCGTTGTCATTATCGTGTCTTGTGGGAGGAGGAGTAACTTTACGAAGGGATTGGGCCGTCGTCCCAACGATTGGGGAATGTGTTTGACCCACATAACCGTGACTTCTAGCACAGTCTGCTCCACTCTGGTTACATGTAAATTAAAAGTATTCATGAAAATGTTGATGGACATTTCAAACAATTAATGAATTAACCTTTTCTTGCTTTTGCTCTTCGTTGGGACCTCTTTCTCTCGCATTTCCAGACAAAGTTGCACTTTTGGCTTCCGGTCATGGTCTCCAACAGGAGTGACGTCGTCTCGTAAAGGCGTGTCTCGCAAAGGAGCGTGCTCTGGCGTGGACATTGTTTTACTCGCCATTTTTGCTTTGATATTGTTCCTAAATGAGTTACGCACTTATCACAACATCTTCTCAAGGATTTGATAGTTAGTTACTTACAATTTTAGATTTGAGGAGAACTTGCTGCCTTTAGATGATTAAAAATACACCCGAGTTGTCTGCATCTTCCGGTTATGAAGTAGTGCAGCAAAATTGACTTTTTGACTTTGATAAATAAACTTTCACAATCCTGTTCCCTTAGCCACTCATTGCTGCAAAATTTTTGCATCAATGAAATGCGAAATCCCTCCTTGTGAAACCCAAATGTTTTCCAACATGCAGCTCGTCGAACGTTATAGATATTTACTTTATGCAAATACTTTACTGACAATACGGATAATATTCAGCTCCATGTTGTGTCTGGTCTAAAGTTAAGACTCTTAACTTGTGCATGTATGAGATGATGGGTATTGGGTATTGTACTATTTATTATGCAGCATTGAAATGTTTGCATTGGTAAAAGTCATTCTGTGACAGAATTTCTGTCGCCTTTACATGTCTGTGAATCTCTCTCTCTCTCTCTCTCTTTGTGCATATTATTTGCATTTGCAATCTCAGCTTGGGCCAACATTTGATTAGAAAGATGCAATGAATGTTTCTACGTAAATGGATGTTGCAAAAATCATAATTTGCACAATTTTAGTTTAGGCTCCTTAATAAATGCATCCTCATTATAGACCATGATTTTTACCTAGTAAAAGCCACCTACTTACATACATTACAAGTTGTGCATACATCCTCGACACTGGACCATCGAACTTTGATCATTGAACTTATGCATGCATTCGCTGCTTGAAAAGTGAATGAAGCCCATAATATGAATGATATTAATATGAAGCAGGTTATCTTGTCTGATAGCTTGTGAAAGTTTACTCACATACTTGGTCTTATCACATCAATAAAAATTATGACGTTCCTAATCTATGATATGTATTAATTGATTACCACTATTCAACTTTAATTTCATAAGTGGATGGGTGTAAATACAAATACATTCCACTAATAAGTGTGTATTTGATTGGAAAATTTTGACATTGCAATTAGCTTAATTAACTATTAATTGATCATCAATTCTTCCCAAACCTTCTAATCAAATTCGCTCGGTATCATTGTGGGAAATTACCTATTGTAGAAATGTTTATTAAAGCGGTGTTAAGAGTTAACATTGGTTACAACACGACTCGACAAATTTTAAGAAATCCTGCATGCATTCGAAGAAGGTCAACATCAGCATCAGCAGCATTACACCAGGATGAAGACCCCAACTGGGTCAAGTCGCAACTTGAAAGTGTCGATTGCGTTAAGGGATTTACAATTCCGGAAATTATTCGTCAAAATATGGGTGGCTGGGGAAAGTTGACGGCATTTGTAAGGGAATTAATAGAGAACCAACACTTCAAATTCCAATATAATATGAAGTTGTCTTTCAGGAAAGCCATGAAACTGGACGAAAATACAGCCATGACCAAATCCTCAAAAATGCTCAAGGCTTTGCAGCAGCATTAATTCAAAGTGGATTAAAACGTTGTGAAGTTGTCGCCATTGTTTTACCAAATGTTCCAGAATACGCCAGTATCCTCTTTGGTATTTGGGACGCAGGGTAAGTCAATATGAAGCTATAAGAGCTCAACAATTAATAGTACAATTAATTAATTACTTACAACTCAACTTAATTACTTATACTTGTAGCCTGGTTGCCTCTCCCGTAAATCCGTCGTATTCATTTAGTAAGATTTTTATTACATAACGCATGAAAAAAAATATATGTAACAATTTTTTTTTCTTCTACATAGTGGAAACCAAGAGACAATTGGAAATGTCTGATTCTGTCACTGTTGTCACCAATGAAGAAAACGTGGCCTCAGTTTTAAAAGCAAAAGACGCCAACCCTAAAATTAAATCTGTTATAGTTGTGGGCGAACCGGTGTCAGGATGCCACTCTTTTTATGAAATGGTCAAAGCCGATACTTTTGGTATCGATTTTTACAAAGGGTCCAGTTCAGATACGACACAAGAATTGGCATTGTTACCATTCTCCAGTGGAACGACAGGTAAATACATGAAAAGAGAAATTCAAATTTTAAAAAGTGTACATGAAATGATGATTTCGAACAGGTCCACCAAAAGGCGTAATGCTCACTCATTCCAATATTGTGACCAATTTAATTCAATGTGAACCTTCTCGTGGCATTAGTATGATAAGGCCTGCAAAAGATGGTTTCCAGGAGAGGAACATTGGTCTGCTTCCGTTCTTTCATGCCTTCGGGTCCGCCAGCATCCTCTGCATGACGATGCACATGGGAGGTCACTCCCGAACGCTGAGTAAATTCGACCAAAATACATTTTTAGCCGCAATTAGAGAGCACAAGGTAGAAAATATTTTAATAATCCCAATTTTATTGATACATTTCACAGCTCATGTTATTGTAAATATTGCGTAGCCCACGATCCTCCATTTGGTAACACCTTTGATCAGTCATATTGCCAACAGCGATAATTATGGGGCAAAAGAGTTGGAATCCGCACACACCATTGCAGGAGGTATTGATAATTATGCTGCAACTTAAAACAATTTACATAATTGAAAAATAATTTAATTCATTCTGCACATATGTACAATATTTAATTAAAGGAGCCGCACCTATCGGTCAAGCCCTGATTAGTCAACTGTTAGACAAAGCAGGAAAGCACTTTCTATTTCAAGAAGGATATGGCATGACAGAGGTTAATTTTAATTATAACCATAAAATTTATAGTTATTAATGGTTATAACTAATTCCCTCCAAATCTATAGTTAAGCCCAGTATCTCACGTTTTACTCCCAGGTGAGTAGAGTAACATATCAAATGACATCAAAGTTCAATTCTAACTTCTTAATTCTACAGGGACAAACAATACCAAAATCGGAAGCTGTGGATCTCCAATTCCTGGAACAATTACAAAAATTATCGACTTAGAGGGAAATAGTTTAAAGAGAAATGAACGGGGAGAAATATTGGTGAAAGGCCCTCAAGTGATGTTGGGCTACTATAAAAATCCAGAAGCGACTAAAAATACGATTGATTCTGATGGATGGCTTCACACAGGTTACCTAAATATTGAGCACTAACCACAACTTAATGATAACCAGCTTTTGCCACCTATGCATGTTTTCATTATTTTCATTGCATAAATCATAGGAGACATCGCATATTACGATGATGAAGGAGACATGTTCATAGTCGACAGGTTAAAAGAACTCATAAAAGTTCAAGGATTCCAAGTAAAGTTCACAATTTCAATATTTACAATTAGTTTCCGTGTTAAAGACTCAAGGTAATTTCTTTGTTAATAAGGTTGCTCCCAGCGAGTTGGAAGATTTGCTCCGACAGAATGAAAAAGTCGAAGATGTTGCCGTGATTGGGGTTTCAGACGTTCAAACAGGAGAAGCACCGCGTGCCTACATTGTGAAAAAGCCACAGGTGAAACTAACCGAGGACGAAGTTCACCACTACCTCAAGGATCTCGTATCTAAACACAAATACCTCAAAGGAGGCATCGAATTTAGAGAATCCATTCCTAAGGCTCCCAGTGGAAAAATATTAAGACGCGAACTTAGTGACGAGTACAAGAAAAAATTTGGCAGCTAATAAATAAGTAGATTACTTGTGAAATCAGTTCAATAAATATCAGTTTGGCTTTCATGCTACTAAAACCAACCTCAAAATAGATACTAAATACGTACCTATTTATTCTATGTATGTACATGTATGTCATTCCCACTAACTACGATGTACCAGCATATGTACTACGCCTACGCTTCACACCGCACAACAACAACAGGGTCATTAGTGTTAATGATTTTTTCCTCTGGTGGCAAAATTAAGGGCACGTTTCCTTGTCGCAATTAAATTCCAACACCTACCACCACTTTTACCAAAAGGACTACTGAACTAACCTGATTTCGAACATCGTTTCGGCTCCGGTGATGAAGAAAAGTGATGAGTAAACGTGGAAGCAGTAGGTGAAAGTAGTACTTTTGGGCTGGAGGGTAATTGCCACAATTTCTTATTCTTTCTCCACCACGTTCACCCAGTCTCATCACATCCACCACTTTCACTGCTTTCCCCATAACCACGTCATTCATACGACGACGACGACCAAGAATTCTATTATTTCGCTTCACCTACTGCCAACCCGAGGAAGGAAGCAAGTTGAGTTGAGATCATGATGCATACACAGATCTCCCAGCTCACAGAGATTTGCGAGAGGAGAATCTTGTCTTGCTTGCTGCCGTGCATGTAATCTCGGGATTTGCCACACTTGCTGCTTTCACTCTTCTGGATCTCCTCTCTCTTCTACTTGTGTGACGAGGATGAGGACACCTCCTCATTTTCACTCACTTGCAGACTCAATCATTAAAGAAATGAGTTCAAGGCTGATTCTCCACTGCTTGCTGCTGGGGTTGACAGACCCAAGAAGACGACGAAAAAGGAAAGTTAGTCGTCGTCCTCCCAGTCGAGTGACAGCCAAGCATCGTCATTTCATAATGAAATTTTCATCATTACTCGGGAATAAAATTCCGTCCGGGTGACAGTTAATTGAAATGCGCTAGGGATCTAAAATAAAATAATTATTGGGTATAGAAGACTTATACATAGTTATTTGCCATGAATATTTAACCCTTTAACGTGTATGATTAACGACAAGAAAATGCATTAAATCGGGGACACTATAAGTATTTTGTGGTCATGGCGCGGGAGGAGAAATTCTGAAGTTTTTAATAAAACTCGAAAAACTGAAAAATCGAAAATTTAACATTGCGTTGTATAGGGAAATATCCAAATTTTCGGGAAGAAAATCTTCAAATTTAGCATTGTGTTGGCATAGGAGAAATCCCTCAAAATTTCAATAAATTTTAGGTCGCAGAGAGAAAATGGTGAAAATCAATGACCTCCTAGAAACGACAATTGTCTTCCTTCCGCGCCATGACCACGATTTTTCAGGACGACTTTTGTCGTACTCCCGAATTAAACCATTTCTTATAAAACGACTATTGTCTTCGTTACAGTTTAAAGGGTTAATAGCGACAATTTTTTTGAAGACTTTCCTTACTTAATTGGGTAGATAATTTTACGCCCACTTTTTTTAATAACTCTTCTCCCCACCACCAAGTCATTACTGTAACGAATTCCAATAATTGACACGAGTCTCGTTTTACATCATCATCTCTTCCATCCACCCAATAATGGCGACAACTGTCAAAGTTTCCAGAATGGAAAAATTATGTTCCTCGACTCTCCAAAAAGTCTATCAGCGTCACCAGCCAACCCACCCACCAACCAACCACTCTGCCGGTACATGCATACGTGTACATACATATCTGTCTCCTTTTATTATTCGTACATGTTTCTCGTAATTGCCTCCTCTCTCCTTTCTCCTTTCTCCATGAATCGAATATGAATGAAAATACATTCTAATATTCTTTGCCGTCCAACTTATCAGGGAAAGAACCTCAGTTGTCACTGAGTGGGAAATGTAATTACGGAACACGGGAGCACAAAACCGAGCATTATATCTCGAGCATAAATCGGGCACAAGCGAGTGTAACTGAACATGAACATTATTACATATTATTATTATGTCCCATGCTGATGCGACTTTCGAATCAATCTCTGATCCAGCCCCAGCAAGCAACGTAACTAACCAAAACTCCAAGCATCGATCCAATCTGAAGATTATTTCCCTTGACAATCTTGTCGGATGGCAGTGTAGCATATTCTCCAAGGGGTCATTGAAGGATTGAACGAATTTTTTATATTTTATTTGGTTGGAAGTATTATCTATCAGAATTTATTATTTTGTCAGGACAGTTTTAGTTGAAAAATGAAATTTTATCCGGTCCTGGACAAAATGACAGTATATTTTGGAGAAAAGGAGGAAGAATACAAAATTCAATCTAAAGCTGCCACACAAAACTTGGATCTAATGCTCCTAATCCTTCCCCACAAATGAAGCTGGTTTCCATTAGCTTAAATAAGTCTGGGTAGGCTGAAAGAGATCTGCTAGTTTGGGTTTAAAGGAAGAGAGTGCTTTGCATTAGGCAAGATTTTGATGTATATTTTTACGAACATCAAAAAACTTGCCATAAAGGAATATTTGATGTTTGTTTTAAGAATTTTTGACGGTTTGTATTTCTGACAGAAAGCAAGATAATGTAAATTCCTCCGTAATGCTTCATATGTAACAATGGTATGGACCTTTGTGATGTAATGTTTTACAATTTATAAATATTATCATTGAGTTACCATACTATGCGAATATATGTACATACATAATATGAGCTGAAAAACAGTACGTAACGATAGGCAGATAGATAACTAAAACACGATACGATAGGTTTTACATGACTAATTCTAGCCTGTCCTTTACTCGTCAATATGTAGGTAGCAGCTACATGTCTGGGTTTTCTAACTTCTCTGCAGTCCATATTGTATGCTTGACACAAAGGAACACAAATATCAGTAATTTCAATTTGTAAACAAAGTCGTCCCTGATCAATAGCTTGAACCAGACCCAGATTAGAAATTTAATTGGACTTTACGGTAAACTGAGGATGAATGGCATCTACCTAAGTACATTTTCCTTACATTTTTTATCAGCTCCTCAACAAACCAGCAAACTGAAAATTCTCTTGATTACATACATTCTCATCAAAATTTTGGAACTGAATTAGTCTTATGTTAGGCTGGCCGTATAATAACACGAGATAAACATTGTTCAAAGTTCGGTTGTGTAATAAAGCTCTCGTAGAATATTTAAATATCTAACTTAATTTCAGACCCGAGGAGAAACTCAAGGTGAGCGAGCCATGCACGCCCGTAGGAGAAAGTTGGGAGAAAGCATAATAATAATAAAAAAGTACAAACCACGTATGTACATACTTACATATGTAGTTATTCTTATGTGTGTATGAACGTCACCGGCCTGCCCATCGTGGAAAGCCATTGCTTGTCCTGTCCTATTCTTCCTTTGTAAACGGACACGGTAATATAAAACCTCGAGGATTTCATAGAATTAAGGGATTTAAATATTTAATGATTTTCTATCACTTTTAAACTCATGTTTATCCCTTCCATCAATCCATCCATGGCAGGATGTGCCCAACACAAAACTTCTCAACCTTTACAACCGCACTTTATTTTATTCCGCTCTGCAAACTTTTTCCAGCTTGTTGCCCACCATCAAAAGAAAGAAAAGTAGAAGGCTACTTAAAACGAGGGGCACGACACGAGAAGCAAATAAATTGACAATTCATGCAAATAATCCAAATCATATGAACCATAAAGATTCGGTTGAAATGCGGTCGAAATTTTAAACCCGACCTGTAAGAATATGCATACGCTGGATAAAATTAGCTCAAACTTGCGCAAAAACCTGACAATATGTCGCTAATGATACCATGCAAAAAATATTGACGGCTATGCCTTCTTTGTCTTCATATACTGCGAGTTAGTTTAGCTCCATGTATTCTAGTTCTCAAGGAAATATGAGCATGTCAATTAATCCAGGTTTTTCCCTCTACTTGATATGTACGCATTTACACCACGTACCTCAATTTCTTACACGTTTGTTGTGCAACAAGTTGTATGTAGCCTATTACTTGGTTTATTCTTCGCTAGTTGGTCATGTAACATGGATATATCTCCAGCGTCACGTCTGGTGCTGCCTGTCCTCCTATTCCCATGGGGTTCCTCTCAACTTTTCAATTGAAAACGGTTTAACTAACACGACTGGATGAGAGGAGAATGCCAACATGATGAGAAAGAAAACCTTCGCTCACTCAGTTTTACTTGGCAGGATCAAAATTCGAAACGTGAGAACATTGTTTGTTATTCTGAAGAGAGAGAGCAAAACTTGGGCGCACTTAAAACCAGCTTTTACTCTACATACTTGAATTTTCGTACTTTATTACGTACGTTACGTGTTAGTTACGTACGTACAACAGAATTCATCAATAGTACCATTATAAATATGTAATTCCATTCATGTATTTATTTACATTCACACTTATCCAAACATTTATTACTTACCATCTTCAAACTTTTTTGTGTACCACCACCTCACACGAAACATTAACAATACCCACCCCATTTATAAAATAAACAAACTCAAAGACATACTTGCTTTGTTGACTCCATTGACATATTTATCCATCCATACAGAATTATTCCTACCCCACGTGCAGAACATTACCATTTACTCGAGCCATAATGCATATTAAGCTGCAAACATTTAGGTAATAGCAAACTTTGTGGAGAGTTACTAATTGAGGTTGACATGATTAAAAGCTTATTTACCACCGTGCCAAATTCAATTTTCCCTTAGTGTCTGAAATATTTATGTACGTGCCTCCACCAAAACTTGGCAAAACAAAGTATCAAAAAACCTGTTGAGCCAAATCCAGCAGCAGACTCTCTTTTTTTAGTACGTGTTACACTTTACCGACATGTAAATTTAATTACAAATTCCAAATTTTTATGCGATCAACATCTTTTTACGCGACCACAAAGAAGAGAATATTTTATCCAGGTGCAATAATAATACACGTGCTGTTTAAGTAACAGACAGGAGCATTATTTGAGCATGAAAATCTGTCTGTATTGGTAACAATATGCCCAATCAAAATTCGCATGGTCATCATTACACACATTATTACTCCATCCATCCATATTATGCATATGTTGATGGATGGATCAATCTCTCTCCTACTAAATACTACTTACACTGCCCAATGGGTTTTCCTCCTGGAAGGATGAATACAGTACACACACGCTGATAAAATAATATCATGATGACTTTTGTTGCCTTTATGCAGCTTGGCATTTTGCAGGAGCCAAGCCAGCAATACATACATTGCAAAAAAAACTTGATTACCTTACACACAAGCCAGTCACAAACTTATGCAGATACGATACATATAGGCAGCAGTATTTATTTACAACAAGCAGTCAGCAATATTATTATTATTACAAAACTGTGCTGAGCCCCGTTTCTCTGTTATGTTGCTGTATGTCATGTATGCTTTTGGGATTATCTCACTGTTGCGTTGTTCCCTGTTATAATAAAGTTGGTTCTTCTCGTATTTGCTGCGCTGTGGCATTGAAACTCTCGAGTTTTGTATAAAGCAGCAGCAGCTACGACGAGCAGAAAGAGAATTTCGTGAATTTTGTGTGCGAGTGAGATGATGAGAATGAAAGTAAACGTGCAACCCTTTCGCCTCCAGTTCAGTATGTCGTTAGTTGGCAGGAGGGGCAGTACTGCATGCACCGGTCTTCATGGCGTTTTAGTTAATTGGTTGTAAAATAACTTTCATCCCGTAACAAAGTTGGAGAAATAAAGCACGTAATAAAAATTGCGTCTTGTAAGAGGCAAAATTGGGTAAATTCCAGTAACTTGTTATCTATCTGTTTAGTTGCGTGGACTGGACTGGACAGACAGCTCTGAATACATACCAACCGGACTGGAATCTTATCTCTAGTAAGATTCCCCTTACAGGAAAAGTTTTGTGTGTCCGTGAGAATTTTTGCGAGAGTTTGAGTGGTTGGCGACTAAATGGCGAAGCGAGAGAGATAGAGATCCGATCATTACTTGAGGTTTAGCATTTTATCTGATGAATGCAATCCAGCCATTAAAGCCCAGTCTGACCAAAGTTGTTACCAAGTAGTGTTTAATGTACGGAGGCTTGTGTAATAAGTCTGAGTGAGTGAGTGAGAGATAGGCAAAAAATATTTGCATACATATAGGGCAGATAATAAAACCGTCGTGATTTACTACTACCAACAACAACGTGCTCTTTTATATTTAAGGTGGTCTCCCTACGCGCTATCCACTTCATTATCAATTTACTCGTGGGCCAAGTTAATCATGCTACTTGCTACCGAGTGCTTCTTCTTGTGTGCTAATTGAAATTGAAGTGACAAACACGAACCAGAATTAAATAAGATGTTCATCTAACAGAAATTGACGGAGAAGGAAGAAGACAATCTCATCTCATCTTTCCTCCAGCAGCGAGATACACTACTTGGCATTTTACATGTAAAAGCTACTTGAAAAGAGAGAACAACTGGATTTTTGTCCACTTTACCATACCACCAACTACAACTCATGGTTTTCTTCGTGGTGTTGGTTTAGCAGAGAGTGGTTGAAGTGAATCCAATCGGAAATTGGCAAAAAAAGTCAACCACTACTTGATTCCTCGCTAAAGAATTATAAAACTCTATATAAACTCTGAAACTCTTAAGGTCAGGACACCGATATTAAATACAAAATTTGGCCAATACATTTTGTGTACTCTGACGTATCCACTTTTCTGAGGTTTGTTCGTTCAGAAAGGAACAAGGAAACGGAAAACGTCAAATGTTATCTTAACAACTTAACAATAATTTTTACCAGTGCAGTGTACAATTCGTGTTATACATACATGCAATATTATTTCCACACCAAAGAGTTTTCTGGCTGGCACTCCTTTTTAACTTATGTCTTGACCTGTCAGACACACTACTAGCACGTAGTAAAACCTTTAATTATATGCAGTTTTAGAAACACCTAAGGGTTAATAATAATAATAATATCACGTCACGCCAAGTGTAGGTCACGTCTCTTGAGACTAAAAAGCGCATATTTATTATCACACACATATCCACATTGTTCCAATTCTTCATAATAAATTATGCTCTCCAAGGCCCATCATCGCAATAATCAGTAAAGTGAACTCAACTGTGACTACTGTGTAGGGAAGCAGGCAGCCGTTTGCATTCTCTGAATATATGAAAAACTTTCAAGAAACTCTTTTGCAAAGTTTTTTGAACTGTGAAAATAATTGGGATTCTGACTCGAGAGCTTTGGAGCTGCTGGATGGAGGATAGAATAATAAATCTACCACCCGAGTAAATCATTTCTAAACCCATCGCCCAATTTACGACACACTACACGTAGAGAAAAAAACTCTTAAATTTACAACTTTCCCCAAAAACCTTGTTTGTTATTGGCTCTCAAAATTTTCCTCTTCTCGACAAGATGAGCAAATCCAACCAAAATAGTGGCATGTATTGGATAGACGGATCTCGGCGAAATGACGACTTTTACACGGTCTACAGTGTTGACAGCGTTATGGGAAAGTATGGAAATTTTTTTAAAATTCAATAAACTAATTCGTTCCCAAACATTATCATGTCTCAACCGGAACATGGTGTTTTGTTTTTTACAGGGGAGTGACGTCAACCGTTTTCCGATGCAGGAACAAATCCACTAAAGAAGAATGTGCGGCGAAAGTGATTCAGAAGATGGTATTGATGTATTTTTATTTACTAGTCAATAGGTGGTAGTTTCTAACCTCGGTAATGGTAACAAAAAATCATGCAAGAAATACATATTTATTTATAAATATATATAATTTATACCGAATTGGGCAAGATCTGTACGTGCATAGCTGTCTCAGCTTTTATTGCATCTCTGTCTGCATCTGCCTGCATGGTGTGTAGAAGATTTCTTGATTTCCTTGAGATCAAATGTGCACATTTTACCATACAAGCTCTTGTTTTACGACTTGTTGTTAGGTTAATAAATATGAGGAGGATCGATGAGGAGGATCGTCTCTAATCAAGTCAAGTCAAACGTATGCTTGTAGAAAGACGGCACACAAACAAACAATCTGTCATGCATGTAAACTACAAAAGATCAAATTACGCTATCATCACTTTTGCTACTAAATGCGAACATGGATCGGCTTGTCGACGACTCGTGTCTATTCCCTGATTAAGATCTCTCATCGTCATCTCTCTTCCTTCCATGAACTTGAATAATCTACGTGAAGTTGAGATTTCTGTGTTTATTATCCCACAAAACTTCTCTCCTCTCTCTGATCTCGCATGCTATGCTGCTGTCAGTGTTGCAAGACAGACGTCAAGGTCGTTATTATCGTCTCTTCACATCAAAATAAATAGAACCAGCGGCGACGGAGGTGATGAGGAGGATGCATGATGTGAATATATATAGACAAAAGCATAGACAGCTTTCAGACATGCAAACCTTTGTCGATCTTGATAATACTCTTGGCAATCAAAAATCTATATGGATTGATTAGATCCATGCAGGGGTTTAAATTTTCATGAAAAATCCATCAGAATTTTGAGTACGGATTTTTATGAAGCGCGTACTTCCTTTTTTATCGCCATCACACACTCAAAATGCTACAGATTTCTTCAAGATTACAAAAAATGAATACTGTACTAAAATTTAACTCGGCTTTGACCTTTAAATGTCTTACATATAATAAAAAAAGAAATACGTGTGTGTACATACCGCTGGATATACATGCATAAATCGATTTTTGATTAGTAATAAATATGTAAAGTCAAATTTTTATGTTGTACATAATTTCAGGGTCAAGGGAAACGAAAGAAGGTTATTTCATCCGAAGTAGAGGCCTTGTTGCAATTGAATCACCCAAATATTGTAAAAGAATTATATAATTGCAATTATACTAATTATAGAGTGTAGCTACTTATTTTTTATATGACTGCGTTTTTGGTAGGTTAAAATGCTGGACATTTTCGAATCTGTGACGGAAGTCTACATCGTACTAGAACTTGCTGCAGGTGAGTATATCGATTCTCAAGTGCGAACTTTTGGCAAATTTTGTTAGAATTTGTAATTATAATCATGATAAATTGTTTTCGCTTTCTCTGATCATGCTAATTTTGCGTTTCGAACAGGCGGCGAACTATTTGATAGAATAGTGAAGAAAGGTCAGTTCATATAATAGCAGACGAATGCACACATAATTGCATGCATAATTATCTCGTCAAGATATGCATGATTTTATCGACCATACAAATCATGATAATTTCAGGTCACTACAGTGAAAAGGAGGCTGCCAGAGTTACCTATCAAGTTCTTAGTGCTTTGGAGGTAACTAAATTACATACTTAAAGTAGGAGAGCTATATCTCGTTAATGAATGCGAACTACATATATAAGTTTTTATAATTTTTCCATTTACAGTACTCTCACGGGAAGGGTATTGCTCATCGCGACATAAAACCAGAAAACATACTCTATTCCTCCGCTTCGGACGATTCATTAATAAAGATTTCCGATTTCGGATTCGCTAAACATGTTGATGACGGGATTATGCAAACCTTCTGTGGAACTATTGGTTCGTGTTTTTATCATTTTATGTACTTAATAACGAGAAAAAATCATTACTTTTGCAATAATTAACTTTGTTTTGTTTTGCTTAGGATACTGTGGTAAGTGGACAAATTATTATTACGTAGAAGACAAGATGCTACACAGCGTTGTAAAGAAAAACTTTAAAAAACATTGACACAATTGATGCTTAAAGCGCCTGAAGTTGTGTTGAAGAAGCCCTACAGCTCAGCAGTTGATCTCTGGTCTTTGGGTGTTGTTCTTTATATTTTGTAAGAATACAATTTATAAAACTTTCCATGATTCACATGATGCGGGAGAAAGCAAGTAAACACAAAACATGTTTTGACTATTTTCAGATTGTGTGGGTGAGTGAGACTTGACTAATTTAAGAAATAACAAGTTTGGCTTCCATTTGTTCCCCGTTTTGCGACCATGTTTACTCAATTCTCTTAAATAAAAATCCGCAGTTATGAACCCTTCTGGGACGAGAGTGGCGAAGTGGGGGTGACTCGGAAAATAGTGTATGGCGATTATGAGTTTGAAAGCCCGTACTGGGATGAGATTTCTTTACCAGCGAAAGAATTTGTTAAGCAAGTATGTCACTGAATGCTCTTACTTTGTTTTATACTATTAAAACCTTGAATCTATGCATTTTTTAAGCTGATGACTGTTGATCCTGACAAGCGACCTACTGCGAAGGAAGGTATAAAATTTTCAAAAATTGCTCAATATAAAAATTAGGACCAGATACATAAATATCCTCAAAACTGTTATTTAGCCCTGTTAAATCCATGGGTGCAAGGAAACATGGCCAGCGACGTTCCATTGACCGCGACACAAGAAAGAATTCGCGAATTCAATGCAAAAAGAAAGTTCAAGGTAAACTATGATTAAATATCTAATTAATTTCATTACTTATTAAATACTTAACATAATTAACTAATTCTTAATACTTAAAGGCCGCTACCAATGCTGTGGTCGCCTTAAACAAAATCACTGGTGGTGCATATTCTCAGTCTCAATCTCTCAGCCCGGAGAAATAAGATTACGTATAATACCTAATCCTTAAATTAATAACGTTAATTATTTTCTATCAATAAATTTTCATACAATATTTTGTTAATTATATTCCTTCACCACACCATCAATCTGTGAACTGTCTCTCTTTTCATATCAGTGAATGAATCTCTGTGATCTAATAATGTTAGTCAGTCATTTATTGTCAATTTAAACGATCCCGACGCCACAGTTTACGGGCAATTGTACTCTGTCCTCTCAATAATAATATTTACATTTATCTGTAAAATCGATTGTGTTAACAACAACATTGCCAACCGTATGTACATGTAGAAATGTACCTGGACTGGAGTTACATAGGTTATGCTACTATTATTTATTCCATTGGTATACACGGTGCTACTGAGTACTTGTCAATAACTTTCTCTCTACTCTTCAATGCATTTCAACAACCGTTCTCGTTCATGTAAAATGCATGTCCGACGCGACTTCTTGTGAGCTTCAAGTTAAAAAAATTGTGTAGTGTTTAGTATGTAGATCAATGTGTTATTAGACGTAAAATTTTACATTTGTCCTCAACAAGACAACACGCGAGTGAATATGTAGAGAAAAAATCATAAATAAATAAACACACACTGTGAAGCATTTACTCCCCCTGTCAACCTTGTCAAGTCAAAAAGACCGTTTTCAAATAATAAACATATATATTACGAGTTACCAGAAATTATAAAAAGACTAAAATGCCGCATAATTATTCCACCATAATTTGCATACTAGTGCAACTCTTCCTACTAAAACTGTGTTGCATTACGGGACAAAATTCGGGTGGTATGTACAGCGGTGGAGGGAGTAGCAGTGGGGGTGGTGGTATGAAGGTTAGTGGTGGTGCTGGCAATATGCAACAACAAGGGGGAGCAGGCAGTAGTAACTTTAACGGTATGATGAGCCAGATAGCTGGTGGAAAAAATCTCCCTCCAGGATATGCCAACATACGGGGAGAAATTATGGACATGTCGAACAAGGTCTTGCAACGAATCACGGCAGCAGGCACGAATTATTTTACTTACGACGTAAGTATGTATGCACGAGTAGATATTATTCATCTCATATTTTATTGAAGATTGCAACCCTACATGCATGCACTATCGGTATCAGAGTAATAATAATATGTTCGGGATACACAATAATTTTCTATTTAGAATCAAAACGGCGCTCCGATTTTTAGGCGAAGAGAAATCGATAGCGGGCGAAGGTTTGTGCTAATGCCCGACATGCTGTACCCTCCAGGAGACGGGCATTTTATCGTACTTCGGAAGATGCCCGGTAATAAAATAAATGCTCTGCTTTCCATTAGGCGATGATGATGATGATGATGCGAAACAACGTTACGCTGTTGTTATCTCTTTTACTTGTAATAATGCTCCTGTCATTTACAAGGTGTCAATATCCCGGGTATGATTCCACAACAATTGTACGAAACCTTTCGTTTGTCCTTGGGGTGAGTCCGTGCACTTGACACGTGCAGTTGATAGCTGTCATTATGTCATGTCACGTACTAGATATTTTGTATCATAGGTAGGTAAATACTTATATTTTATTATGCACGTGCAGGGATAGTGTCCACGCGTATGTGGAAGCCTATAAGAAGGATGACCAACCGAAAATGGTGAACCAGGGGAGCTTTAACGGTCTAGCGGCCAGTTATGGGGGTCAGTCTTCCGGTTACAGTATGACTGGCCCTGACCCAATGTCCAAGTTTATGGGGAAGAGGAAAAAACGAAAAAGTGACGGTGTTCTAGAAATGACCCCGGTTGACTTAAGCAAGTATCACGAGGAGGATGTGGTTGCGGTGTAGCCTTTAATAAGCTTGGAATAAAATAAATACAGTGAAAAGTGCATGATGAAATATGACATGTCTTGTGAATCATTGGTATTTTATGGCATGCATATTATAATAATTTGTGCAAGGCAAATACGTATTTATTTTAGTAACAACAATCGAGAGTTTTCATGATTCCTGATGTTATTCAATTTTCATGAAACAACATCGATTGTTTTTGACACAAATGTCTCACACATCCTCGTGAATCATCTTATTTGGTGTCCAATGTAAATCCCAAGCAGGATGACAAATTTTCCAACATGGTGACTATTGACCGTAGAGTACATATTTCTACTTTTAAGACGTACCCAGTCACACGTTTCCTTCACTTGCAATTTTAGCTCGGTCCAAAGAACAAGATTTTTTCTGAGACAAATCAGGGACAAAAAAATGTTTTCCAAAATTTCCATAAGTTGTGATCTCTCAGGCGTATTCTTTGTCGTGATTTTTTTCTTCATTGTACTTGTACAAGCTCGAGACCCAAAGGGCACTCCGTTAGACGAACTTCTCCGAAAGCAGGATACCGTTTGCAAAACAATCAACAGGACATCAATCGATGAAGCCAGGGTACATATATACATAAAATAAACACCACATGCATTGTGTACTAACTAATACTAATTTTGTTAAATTATAATTTGACAAAATAAACTTTCTGGTGATTCATTGATTTTATCCTCATTTAATTTATAACCACGCAGCTTGGGTGGAGTGCTTGCGTTGACTCTTTCATTCTCAGGTGAGAATCCTATTATTATGGCCACCAAAAACCAATTAGGATTTAATTTTTAACAACATTAATTAATCATCATACTTTTATATACATAGACCAAACGATGACATTGACGAATTTGAAGAGCTTCGTCAGTATTATACATTCTTTTGTCGGGACGATCGACGTTTTAAAGGATGTTGGAGGAATGTGACAAAGTTGCTTAATCGCTGTGAAGCTGGTCGAGGTGATATTGCTGAAAAACTTTACTTTTTCATTTATGATCTGACATGCAGGAATAATGGCAGCGTTACTGCGAGTAAGTGACACAATTTTTATTATGAGTTCCAATTGAGAAAGTTTATCCATAAATTGAATTAATTATATTAGACAAAATTATAAAATCGAGTGAACACGGAGACTTGTGTGAGATGAATTACTTGACGAAGACTTGCAATGAGACGAGGAAAGATTGGTACTCGATTGACATCTGCAGGTTAATTCAGCTTCATATTTACATAGAATTATTGTTGTTCATCTAATGAATTTTATTCATTTTTACATTCTTAACATTTCAGGAGGTACGAAGCACAGAAAATCTGTGAACAAGCTGCCGTTTCAAGTTGTAACAATAAAATCCATAAAGAAATGTTGCTTCAAAATCTGCAAGAAATTGGCACCTCGCTGAAATGTGTTGACACAACTTCATCTTCACCTACAGCAGGATCACGAAATGATGCGTATAATTCTGCAATTCTACTTATCTCTATTATGTCGCAATTTGCATGGGCAATAAGGAAGAGCTGATGGGAAAATAAACTCGCTCTATTTACTAAATCTTGTCTAGAAGTCCAACCTATTTCATGTCCTGATTTAATTTTGAGTTGCATAAATCATTCAATCTATTTAATTAAGATGCTACACATCATTTGGGATGAAAAAGATGTCACCAAATAAAATTTCTCACACTTCTTGCACCACTTGATTGGACACAAATAAGACCGTAAAAATCACGAACAAGTCTCAAATCAAAGCAGGTTCTGATCCTGTTCATCCAAACGGCCTTGATTGTAGGATCCTCATGAGAGACTCAGTCAGTCGCATCGGGTGTGGTGCTACTGGCTTCGATTGTACAAATAAAAGTTTTTTTTTTGCTCATGTTACTCGTCCCATACAAGAATCAAGACATGCCATCTCACTCGTCTCTTCTGCTTCGTAGATGAAATATTGTCTGATTTAATTGTAAGAATGAGAGACATACAGCGAAGATTCAGATTCCGCATTCCGAGTCTTGTTACTCGTTCATTTTTTATCCGTCAATTTAATACTCCTACGTACACACTGCCTCCCCTTAGTCCCTCTTGATCTAATTGCACCTTGGTTGAGTTACGCCAAAAATTTCAGGTAGTTGCAATGAAATTTGCTTACGAAATGCCTCCCTACAATTGCCTAATACCCTTTTAGCTTGGCTCCAGGTCTGGAAATGTATGTAAATATGCACCCCTTTTAACGACCCAATCTGGAAGGTGGAGTCCCTAATTGAGAGGATTTTCAGCCTCGTGTAAAATGAAATAGTATAAATAGGTTTTGCATCGTCAGTTCAATCAGTCCAGTTCACTTTGGTCATCAAATAATTCACCATGTTCAAGTTTGTAAGTTTCACAAGTTTATAATAAAATGTGGGGAAAAGTTATTAAACAACTCGCTAATGATTTCAGGTCATTCTTGCTGCCTGCGTCTTCGCCACCGCACAAGGTGGAGCCATCCTGGCCACCGCTCCAGTCCTTAGTGCCCCACTTTTGGGCAAGGTCACCACCCTCCCCGCCGAGACGACTATTGTCAAGCAACAAGTGATCGTTGACCAGCCCGAAATCCGATACCGATCTGTTCCCACGGTCGTCCAAACTGCTCCCATTGTCAAAACGGTCCAACCCATCGTTCACGCCGCGCCAGCTTTGACCTACGCCGCCGCTCCAGCTTTGAGCTACGCCGCCGCCGTCCCCGCGGTGAGAACGATTGCTGCTGGTACGCACTTGACCTATGCTGCCGCACCAGCCTTCAACGCTTACAACTGGAATGGATTCCCAGCCGCGACTTACGCCGCGTGGTAAAAAAATTGTTACGAAAATTCATAACTAGATTATATTAAATTTGTAAACTTTTCATATTTTTGTGTACCAAAATTGCAATAAAATAAAAATGTTTTATACAAAAAAGTTACTTTAATTAAAGCAGATCAGTTTATTAATACCGTATACAAATAGAATAAAGATTCGCATACATTTATTTTTACACTCGAATTAATGCATATGTACGAGATGACTGACTAGTTACTTTAGATAACTAATAAAATTCTAAGACTGGCCATTTATTTATACATTGAGGATACCGGTTAAAGTTACGTTAAGTAGCAGATTTTTTTTATTCCTGGAGATTATTAAACCAATTAATCTTGAATTGTTTTTAGTCATTCTTGTTAATTTTCTGGCCCTTAAGCAATATGCAACAAGGCACAGAGCTTTTATTATTAGTTGATGTTGATTGATTTGTGATGCGAAGCTTGTACCATGTACATACACATTTAAAAATTAAATATTACATTTTTGAAACACACGCGAATTTCCTAACAGGTCAGATTGTTAAAAATTTTTGGTTAATGTGGAAGGAATTGGAATGTTGTAAAATTCAAAGCACCGGAAAACGACACGATTTGTTTGGTGATTTATAAAACTAAAATTCAGTACATGTTATGGCAAATTTGTGTACTTTTTCATTAAAATTAATACCTGATGTTAACTATGATTAATCTGTATTAGCGATCTCTGAATTAGGACTGAGTTGAATAATAAATCAGGACCGAAAAAATCAAAAGTAACTCAAATCTATAATTACCTCTAAAATCATAATGGAATGGATTAATATCCATATGAAAATGAAACAAAAGCTCTAAATGCATATAAGAATAATTAAAAACCTTAAATATTTTATGCTTGGTCAATCAATACCAGTAAAAAGTTAAGCTCAAGAAAAGTAATTGATTAACTGAATGGTGGTCAATATTGTTGTGTGGTGCTGGTGGTCCTACTCACTACAGCACAACGCCAGCCACCACCGCCGATGTCACTATCCAGCCGACCAAAGTATTAATTTCTGAAGAGAAAGATCCCGACCCTGATGCAGACACAGACCCCGCACGTTGGTTTGAAGTTTGTACTGGCTTGATGTTACAGCCGATCTGGCCAGAAGAAAAGTGAAGCATGCTGGTCACGAGATTCTCTGGAGTTGTATCTCTGCATTTCTTCAGCTCCTTCCCTGTACAAGTTGCCAACTCTTCCATTTTCCTAAAAAAATAATAAAAATTAAAGGCTCGTGAGAATTTTTAGGAGCATGCATGCACATCAATCAACAACACTTACTCGCATATCTCATCCGTTGTAACGGCCAAATTATTGGGGTCGGGAATCTTGATTTGGGATGGGTCTTCTGGGATGTCTTCAAATTCATTAATGTCCGCCATACATTTCTTGACGCCGTCGCCATGTTTCTCGAGACATTCAAATCCACCTTCTGCCAAAAACAGAGCAATTCGACCACCATCATTGTCATCTCCACAGAAGAATTTCACAGATTCATCCACAATCTTGGTAACTTTGTCCCCCTTTTGCCAGCAGTCCTCAATAATGACAAAGAACTCCTTGAGACATCCCCTGATCTAAAAGAGGAAGAATATTACATAAATTTAGCAATAGTGCTTATTTTCTTCAAGTTCAGGATATATAAACAACAACAAAATATAACGACTAACCTTCGGCCATTTCAAGCACATTCCACGAAAAACGTCGTCCAATTTTCCATCCGGAACGGCTTTCTTCACATCATCAATGAGTTGAGTTTCATTCATGTATTGTTCCACGCATTTGCTTGCATTGTTCTAAAAGAATTAAATTATCGATTAATTTCATTGCGACTCTCGCGTATTAATAAAACACAACTGCAAAATTAACTTCTAACCAAAGATGCCTGATCGATTTTCCGCTGGTTCTTGCAATGGGATTGGATTTGTTGCAGCAGGTTTCCGATCAGTTCTGGAGGAGGTTTCATATTCTTAAACTGAGTCTGCAATCTGCCATGAAACACAAATTTTAATTACGTTATAATCGTATTCAACTAAAATCTATTATTATTTAGTACCTGTTGATTTCTGCATCCACATCAACTGCTGCAAAGACAAGGGTGCATAAGCCCAAAAGCGTGGCGACCAGAATAGCCGTCTGTTTCACAGTGGGAGGATTCATTTTGTTTCAATATTATTTCTGCAAACCTGTAAAACATACAAGTAAAACAATTAAGTTTAAAAAACTACTAACACGCACAAAATCGCGACGGTGCCTCTTTAGGGTGAGACTAATAACTAAATTGCAAAAATATTGAAATGAGACCCAGTCTACAGTCCAATTTCGGAGTAAACAAGTTTCAAGGTCCAACACCATTGTGAGAAAGGAAGAATACGCACAAAAAAATTATGACTCCTTCATAGAACCCTTTGTATGATCCCTTCCCCTCCGAAACTTACCTTACTCACAAGAAGATCGACGCAATATACGGCAACCCTTCTAAGTAGACTCGGAAGATTTCGCAATAACAAAACAATGAGTGAACAATGCAACAAGTGAAAAAAACTGCCTTTTGGTTGCGAGATGGAAACTTATTTTCCGGACACTTCTTTCTGACTGACTGCTTTTTTTGGACAAGTCTGACAACCTTGTTTACTATCTTAATTTGTTATCTTAAAAAGGTAATAATCTGGCTTGACAATTCTCGACTTGGCTTGGCTTGGCTTGAGAGAGACCGAAACTACCTGAAGAACTGCCTCGGATTGACTGGATAAAGAATCATGAATATTCTCGTCTTTTATTAAGAGCTACACACACTTATCCTAGGTGCCTACCACTCTTAAATAAATGTGCGTGTTAATATGTTAAAACCAAACAAATATAAAGCGTTCCCACGTCCTAGGACATTTATTACTTATTGCCATTCTGATGAGTCAGTCTCACGTGTATAGTTACTGGAACTGGACTCAAAACCTTCTTCGTTTGTACTTTATCATCATTAAATATCATTAAACTACAATATAACCCATGATAACCCAAACATCTACCACAACTTATCGTATCCGTGGCGTCTCCATGTTATGCACAATATCCTTGATCATTAGTATTGGATGAGTAATGAAATAATAAGAATGCTAATAAACTGAACGTCCTATTTAACAACAAGCACTTCGTCTTGGTCAACAAGAAGGAATAATAAGATGGGCTTAGATTTCAGTCGTAAAAATTAAAGAGTTTGCACTGGGGCCAGGACGAAGGTATAATTAAGATTAGGGCCGAATGACGACAATGGAAAAATGAACAGCGTTTTTTACAGTGATTTGCTGGATCCTTATCGTAAAGACAAATGTCGTCGTCGTCAAAATGTTCTGGAAGGGCTTCTGAGATCAGATTCAAAAATTTCTTATGGGTCGTTGACCAACTACATACACCGTTAAAATTTATGGCAACGACAGATCCGCAATTATAAAGTAATTGGAGAGGTGGAAAAATAAACTGGTCGGTAAGTAAGAGCAGAGGAGGATTATTTTACAAATTAACACCGATATAAATATTTTTTTATTTATGATGACCCTTCAAATATCGTTGACTCCGAGAAACAACAACTTTTAATGGGATGAGAAGAAACTGTAGTATGTATCAATACTAAAATGACGCATGAACTGGTATAATAGGAAGATTTTAGTAACGAAGTCCAAAAAGAGAGATCAAAATCCTTGATACGACTAACTAAATTGACGGACATTTATATCACTGGCCACACTAAATTGCGAATGTAAAGTGAGGCCCAACATTTTTTTAAATGGTAGGTTTATTCTTTGCGCAATTACTAACCAATTTGACATTACTTTATTTGCCCTAGGTCAAGACTTACCAGCTTAAATTTAAATAACCTTGATACAACAAGATCAAGAAACCTTTTCAGAAAATGCAGTCATCTCATAAAGACTAGATCATAAATTTAAAGCAAGTCGAGTTCCTCAAAAGCAATGGTTTTTATTCCAAGACCTCGCAAATGATTTGCATGTATGTGCATCTCAGACATTGAAAAAATAAAATGTCATCTAAATTACTAGAACTTGGACAGGAAAAAATCTAAATCTATGCATGTCGTAAACTGTCTGTGCAGGCAAAGGTGGTGGGGTCCGAAGAAATAAAATGATTTTATGTAAGTCAATGACAAAATTGCGAGGTCTCGATTTAGTAAACCAAATAGTTTTTGGTAGAGTCGCAATGTCGCAAAGAAACTATAAAGTTGTTAAACTAAACCAGTCACGAAATTAATGGACAAAGTCGTAAAACCACCAGACTTTTATCCAGGATGAGGAATATTTGTATATTGACACCGATTTTTACAGATCAACAAACGCCTTCCTAACGTCATCAAAAATTTTAGTGTGTTGTTTACGAAAAATGTGGGTAACTGGACACGGCAATCAAAATTACCAGTTTCCTTTCAGCACAACTACTTACATACATATTTGCCTTGCACAAGTACAAAATCTTTGATCTTTCACACAAAATGCTAAATAGTTATTACCTTTTTAAACCAGAATTGGATTCCTTTTTCAAGTTTCAAGTCAAAAGTCAGCCTTTCGGTAGGATTGAATTATTATTCGTAACAGCAGGATCACAAACGAGATAAAATTTTTACTTTACAAAAATGGACGTTATACTTTTCATGGTCAATGTTACAGGTTATTTATGTGTAAGAGCACCGGACATCACGACCAAATTGAGTGGGTAAGTATGTTATGTAGAGTGTGTTTGTGCAAAAGTTGCAAAATATCGACTTTCTCTCTATTTTCTCCCCGAATCCCCACCTCGAGGGTAAGAGCTTCTTATATTTGCGGACTCAAAACAAGAGCAAAAAGATTACCTTGCTTGATGGCTAAATGCCGACGCTGCTGTTTTTCACAGATCCGACAAATACCCGAATCCTACTTTCGCCTCTTTTATTTAAACGCCCCGAGAGAGCTGATAACACCGGTCTTGTCTTGCTCCTCGCTAAAAAAATAAAAAACAAGTCAATATGAAATCAACATGTAAACACAATCTGCTTGCTTGGCTGAGGATGTTATGCACTTGAAAAAACAGATAAATTATTACAATTCGATCAGCAAAATTCCATCCTCAAGTCACGTCACACGTATGTACAACAAAATCACAAACCTTGAGGTCAATTCAATTCAATTGGCCAGTGATAAACGTATTATTGCCAAATTGCATTGCATTTTGCAACTCATATTTATTTCGACCTCTGAATTTCTAATGTAATCTACTACCACACAATTCCTGTGTTAGCTGATAATGATTTCTCGTTACAAAAAAAATATTGCCCATTTAAAACAAGGAATCATCTGTTATTCACTTGTTATTTAGTGATCGTTAATATAGGAAGGACCAATCTTCTAAAATAATGAAACACTAATAATAACACTCACTGTTCACTGTGAAAGAACGTGATGAATTTATTTACATCTATTTTAGCGTGCACAAAAAACAATAACCAAGTAAGCAGCAGGATCAGCATCGCGGGCATGCAAGACCAAAAATGTATAGGTATATATGTTATGCACGTTGGGATAGACGTCCAGAGAGTCATTTCATTATTATTTATTTCAATTTCATGAACATTCCCACAGATTTATAGTGAATGCATCATCATTCTTCTGCTATATAAACTAATACATGGACAAAAAACGTATAAAAAAGAACCATGAGTGTATGGACGCATAATGTAAAATGTAATAATAGGATATAGCACGAGTGATCATTTGACCATTAATTTACGGTTTCTTCCTATTAGACATACGTGCATAGTATTAAAATGAAATATGCATGTAACTAGTGTCTCTTCATTTTCAGCAATGTAATTGAATGCAATTTTGTACAATGAATTGCATGAGAAAGACGTATTAAATATGTAAGACCGGCTTAAAATCTTGCAGTACAGATGGCATGCGATGAGCTTATCTATCTATGTATGTAGCTGCTTAGTTTTAAAGAAAATTTGTTGTATAATTTTGAATAAAATGTATCCCATAGAATTTGCAAGATAACCTTGAATTTATATAAAGTGATTCACTACCCAATTACATCAAATATTGATTGATTTCGATTTCATTAAGGATTTTTTTGCAGTGTAATAAATATGAAATATAGATATAAAATATAATGCTTACTTACCTCTCTTGAAAATGGGTTTGCAGATTCCTAAAATTACTTGGTTACTTGTTGTGTAATAACCTATCCGAGAATGGCGACCGCAGTTTAAATCACTTTTTCTACCACACGGACTGCATGTCAAAGTCAAACTTACACATCAGTATTGCCACTCGAACTACTAAACTCTCCAGTATTTGCAATTTGCATGCACAGACGAATATGCAGTAAGCACAAATTAAGTGTAAAATAACAGAAAATCCGATAAGGTCGGCCCAGACGTAGTCATCCATCCATTATTTTAACATCCCATCCACACTCACATGCATTCACACGATATACCAAGCTTAGTTCAGTTAGTTGGTCAATTTGATACATGTATTCTGACATCACCATATATGCATATTAATAACATGGGGATGTACTCACTCTGACAGGAGATCTCTAGCCAGTACTATTGTTAACGTGTATTTTTGTCGTCGTACAGAATAAATTGTGGTGTACATTTCCTAACTACCGGATAAAATCCTTGATACGATACTCGATTTCCAGCAATCTCAGTCACTACCTAGCATACGTAGCATAAATTCTCTTAATATGCAAAAAATGGAAGCAGGGGTTAAAACTTTTTTTGTAGTGGATTGATACTGAATGACATCACATAAAACTAAAAGCTATCATTAAGATTTTGATGGGTTTTACATCCTGCAATCTAAATCATGGATATCAATGATGACCACTGAGTTTTTCAGCGTCACGGGATCATCATCATTATCCATATAACATAACATCCCAATATTGGAATTCATTCATATATTTTTATCAACCGGGACATGATCAATTAGGGGGCGTGACATGCGTGATTCATTAAATATATTTTTCATCTTCATCCACGTACCGATTCACTTCGGCAATTATCAGATTTTTAAGGTAGGAAAAAAACAGGTTTGTTTATCAGGGAACAGACAAAATTTTTGGTCAATGTACAAAATTTTGAAGGGTAGAAAATTCCAAAACAAAAAATCATTATTATTGCTACCAAATTCGTTTATATTAACTCATCAATTTACCGATAGCCAGGATGTAAGTAAAAATGTAAAAGACATTCAAATTGGGTAAAGATGTAGTATTCGAGATAACGGGGTGCCAGCAGCAGCAGAATTATTACACGGTTGTTCATTATCATTTCATCACACTAATCTTATTGTTTTCCAACTTTCACTAAATCCACGTACGTTTACATATGTACATACTTCGTGATGTTTAATTGTGACAACTTTTCAGCTTTGATTGGTGTGTGTGTTTTCTCCTTTCAATTGCTCTACGCATGAGACGACATTGACGTTGATTGTAATGAAATTAAGAGTATACGTATGTAATAAAAAATCAAGTAATTCGTCAGATAATTGCTAGAAATTTATGAGTTTTCCTGTCATATTTCAAGAAAAGGTTGGTTGTTTCATGAAAATACAGTAAACTACCATTTGCATAATGCGGCACAACTTCATAACTTACTCGCAGTGGGTCAGTTGTGATCTTTCTTATTCAGAATTAAAATGGATGTGGTTAATAAATTGGCAAACAAAAGGCCACCGACTGCGGCCGGACAATTTGTGAATTTGGTTAGGTAACAAAAATACGAGATTCACGTAATAATTTGGTTTGATTGGTGTAAATATTTTTTGTCTTAATTATTAATTATAAACTTTCGATTTATGACTTTCGTCTTGTGATTTATTTATCAAAACTGGAGCAGACGCAAGAATTATCAATATTTGCCGAATTAGTGCCAAATTCAATCTCAAAGCTAATATAAAGGATTGAAAATTGTATTTATATAAATAAAATAAAACTGCATGCCATAAAAAGAGCATAAGGTGTAAGATAAAGCAGACAATTTACTCTTTGTATTAAATCTTCATTACGTACGGACTACAAAAAATTACAGATATTTTACCAGATTTTTTTCTCTCAACACGGGCCAGGATTATTTTGCACAAAACGAAGAAGGATGTAATTAAGAATGAAAGCCAAATTCTTAAAGTATTTAATCAGCGTCAAATTGCATACTCAAAGTTAACTCTTGTGTAAAACAAACAAAAAATTACTTTTTTTCAGCGACACATTAGATTCGCACTTCTGGTATGATGTGCATATTCAAACACAACAGAAGCATGTAATTCTATGCAGTAAAACATTTATCATTCTTTACATGACTCATTTTATGTTTTGATTAACAAACAGCTCTCATCTCTTATTAAGCTAGGAATTTCACAAAGATAAAGAACCTTCAAATTTTCAAACTTAATTAAACATTTAAAAAACATACACGTGTTGTTGTACATACGCGTCTAAAAACTTTGATAATTTGATGATGTCCCACATAGTTAATTCCGGATACTTGAAAGTTTGGCAGTAATAAAAACAAAAGTTGTGCACTTTTTCTACCCCTCATTCCGTTATATTTCTGCAATTCAAAGCAAATGAAATCGGTATCTGGAAATCATTAAAATTAGAAACTTTTTAATCACTCGCTACCATTCAAATCTTGCTTTAATAGATGTACCATTTGCTAATTAAACAATTTCTAGCTCTCGTTTAATTACAGGCTTCTCATAATAAATAATATTACAACAATTGCAATCACCCTCTTTGCGGAACTCTTTCCCAATGTGCCTCCGCATTCGATACGAATTCGTTCTAAAGTCGTCGCCCAAATTCGGAACGCACTCCGGATTTGTCGCCCTAGTTGTGCCTGGTACGAATTCGAAATCCGAATTCGAATCGCCTGCGTAGGCTCGAACTCGGAACGAATTCGAAATGCTAATTCTGATCGTCATCTTGGCTTCGAACTCAGTACGAATTCGGGAGCCGACTCCATTCCGATGCTCTTCGGATTAGTGAATTATATATCTTAAAATATGCTTTATGATGATGCTTTTTAATAAAATATAAAGTCAGTGCACACGTTAATGAATATTTATATTTTTATTGAATGTAACAATGGAACTAACAAGAACTCGCTGTTATAAGGTAATCTAATATATTTAAACAAGAAATCTTCTGGTTCAAGTACCATATTAACCGGTTCTGATAAACCGGATGAAAAGTAAATTTTTAAATTAGAACTATCGAAGGGATAATATTGGACAGAGTGTAGATTTAAAATCTGTTGACATGTATATTCGACAGAATCATTCTTTCTATAAGTATAATTTTGTAAAATTACAATTCCACCAGACCTAAGCATGAAGCAGTTATTTCCATTCTTACAGCTAGATTTAGGGGAGAATTTTTTATTCTCAGATATTTTTTGTATCGCATTCATATCTTGTCGTACCAAATCCATTTCTATAATCCGTTTAACTACTTGTTCTAATTGGAAATTATGTGAGCTCAAGAGAATTTTAATTTTCTGCATGTAGTTCTCAAAAGGAAAGCAACTCGCATTGTCTAAACTACCGAACAATAATGCATCATCGTTAATATGCAATAACCCATGCACATTGTAAACCACAAATTCGTTCCCATATAGATTCATGCACCCTTTAACGAACTTCTTTAACAAAGCCGCTGCCTGAAGGTTCCATTCACTATTATCAGCTCTTGGCGACAGAAGAATATAAATTGCTGCATGAAATCTCAAATAATTTCTATACTCTCTTGGCTTAATAATATCTCAAAGTGCAACTATTCCTGTATACAGTAGTAAGGTTCGGAACTCAGTACCCTTAAAATGGTCAATTTGCAATAACGATCGAGGTTTTCTTGGAATATCCGAAGGAAAATGTTCACGAAAATTAGATAGGCGTTCAGAAATTGCTAAGATTTTTCCAGCTGGAAGTTTAAAAGGAATACGACCTTTCACCCACATTCGGAAAAGTTTCCTTGTCACACCTAGACATACTAAATGTAAGTAATCCAACGGAACTTGAGAAACGAGACCTATACATAATTTTGTGAGGGGGGAGATTTCCTTATGATGCTGTGTGTCAGTTTGAAGTACAAAATTTTCATTTGTTCGTTTTCTAAACTCTGTATTCAAGAACGTAACTCGCCCATTCCATTCCCCCTCCTCATGACACCTTTCACAGGAAAAATAACTATTGTGAATTTTTATTCCTTTAATGTAACTGCGTGCAGGTGCATCTGCAAGAATTCTAGAAATTCTAAAAGTGTATAGTTTCCCTGAAATTATAATCCCATCCTGCTCTAAAGCTTTACATTCTTCCACAAATGGTTGTAACA